AAAAAAAAAAAAAGAGAGATGGAGACCATCCTGGTCAACATAGTGAAACCCCATCTCTACTAAAAATACAAAAATTAGCTGGGCATGGTGGCGCATGCCTGTAATCCCAGCTACTGAGGAGGCTGAGGCAGGAGAATTGCCTGAACCTAGGAGGCAGAGGTTGTGGTGAGGGGAGATCGCGCCATTGCACTCCAGCCTGGGTAATAAGAGTGAAACTCCGTCTCAAAGAAAAAAAAAAAGAAACTCACTCAAAACCGCACAACTACATAGAAACTGAACAACCTGCTCCTGAATTAATACTGGATAAATAACAAAATGAAGGCAGAAATAAAGATGTTCTTAGAAACCAATGAGAATGAAGACGCAACATACCAGAATCCCTGGGACACATTTAAAGCTGTGTCTGAAGGGAAATTTATAGCACTAAATGCCCACATGAGAATCGAGGAAAGATCTAAAATAGACACTCTACCATCACGATTAAAAGAGCTAGAGGAGCAAGATCAAACAAATTCAAAAGCTAGTAGAAGACAAATAACTAAGATCAGAGTAGAACTGAAGGAGATAGAGACACAATAAACTCTTCAAAAAATCAGTAAATCCAGGAGCTGGTTTTTTGAAAAGATCAACAAAACAGATAACCTCTAGCCAGACTATTTAAAAAGAAGAGAGAGAAGAATAAATAGATGCAATAAAAATGATAAAGGGGTTATCACCACTGAGTCCACAGAAATACAAACTACCAGCAGACATTACTACAAACATCTCTGTGCATATAAACCAGTAAATCTACAAGAAATGGATAAACTCCTGGACACTTACACCCTCCCAAGACTAAACCAGAAAGAAGCTGAATCCCTGAATAGATCAATAACAAAGTCTGAAGTTGAGGCAGCAATTAACAGCCTACCAACCAAAAAAAGTCAGGGACCAGACAGGTTCACAGCTGAATTCTACCAGAGGTACAAAGGGGAGCTGGTACATTTCCTTCTGAAACTATTCCAAACAATACAAAAAGAGGGAATCCTCCCTAACTCACTTAATGAGACCAACGTCCTCCTGATACCAAAACCTGGCAGACGCACAACTGAAAAAGAAATTTTCAGGCCAATATCCATGATGAACAATGATAAAAAAAACCTCAACAAATTACTGGCAAACCCAATCCAAACAGCACATCAAAAAGTTTATCTATCACAATCAAGTCGGCTTCATCCCTGGGATGCAAGGCTGTTTCAACATATGCACAACTATAAATGTAATCTATCACATAAACAGAACCAAAGACAAAAAGCACATGATTATCTCAATAGATGCAGAGAAGGTCTTTGACAAAATTCAACAACCCTTTATGCTAAAAACAAAAACTCTCAATAAACTAGGTATGGATGGAACGTATCTCAATAAGAGCTATTTATGACAAACCTATGGCCAATATCATACGGAATGGGCAAAAACTGGAAGCATTTCCTTTGAAAACTGGCACAAGACAAGGATGCCCTCTCTCACCCATGCTATTCAACGGAGTACTGAACGTTCCGGTCAGGGCAATCAGGCAAGAAAAAGAAATGAAGGGGATTCAATTAGGAAAGGAGGAAGTCAAATTGTCTCTATTTGCAGATGACATGATTGTATATTTAGAAGACCCCATCGTCTCAGCCCAAAATCTCCTTGAGCTGATAAGCAAATTCAGCAAAGTCTCAGGATACAAAATCAATGTGCAAAAATTACAAGCATTCTTGTACACCAGTAAGAGACAGAGAGCCAAATCATGAGTGAACTCACATTCACAATTGCTACAAAGACAGTAAAATACCTAGGAATACAACTAACAAGGGATGTGAAGGACTTCTTCAAGGAGAACCACAAACCACTGCTCACGGAAATGAGAGAGAACACAACCAGATAGAAAAACATTCCATGCTCATGGTTACGAAGAATCAATATTATGGGGAGGAAGGCAGCACAGCCCATCGCCATGCATGTACTTATGCAACAATCTTGCACGTCCTTCACTTGTACCCCCAAACCTAAAATGCAATAAAATATATGTGTTTTTTAAAAATTCAAGAAAAAAAAAGATGAATAGTTAACATTCACTGAGAGCCTCTTCTGCCAGGCACCTTCTAACTACTTTACGTGAATTATTTTTATCCTCCCAACCATGCTATGAGTAAAGTACAATTATATATTTTTTAAAAGGCCATAATGCTGAAAGTAATTTATAGATTCAATGCTACCCTCATCAAACTACCATTAACCTTCTTCATAGAATGGGGGAAAAAAAACACCTTAAAGTTCATCTGGAAGTAAAAGAGAGGCTGCATAGCTAAGACAATTCTAAACAAACAAACAAAACAAAGCTGGAGGCATCATGCTACCTGACTTCAAACTATACTACAAGGCTAAAGTAATCAAAACAGCATGGTACTGATACCAAAACAGAGACATAGACCAATGGAACAGAACAGAGGCCTCAGAAGTAACGCCACCCATCGACAACCATCTAATCTTTTTTTTTTTTTTTTTTTGAGAAGGAGTTTCCCTCTTGTTACCCAGTCTGGAGTGCAATGGCGCGATCTCGGCTCACCGCAACCTCCGCCTCCTGGGTTCAGGCAATTCTCCTGCCTCAGCCTCCTGAGTAGCTGGGATTACAGGCATGCACCACCATGCCCAGCTAAGTTTTTGTATTTTTAGTAGAGACGGGGTTTCACCATGTTGACCAGGATGGTCTCGATCTCTTGACCTTGTGATCCACCTGCCTCGGCCTCCCAAAGTGCTGGGATTACAGGCTTGAGCCACCGCGCCCGGCCCAACCATCTAATCTTTGACAAACCTGACAAAAACAAGCAATAGGGAAAGAACTCCCTATTTAATAAACAGTGTTGGGAAAACTGGCTAGCCATATGCAGAAAGCTGAAACTGGATCTCTTCCTTACACCTTATATGAAAATTAACTCCCAACGGATTAAAGATTTAAACGTAAGACCTAACACTGTAAAAATTCTAGAAGAAAATCTAGGCAACACCATTCAGGACACAGGCATAGGCAAGGACTTCATGAGTAAAACACCAAAAGCATTGGCAACAAAAGCCAAAATAGACAAATGGCATCTAATTAAATTTAAGAGCTTCTGCACAGCAAAAGAAACTATCATTAGAGTGAACTGGCAACCAACAGAATGGGAAAAAAAATTTGCAATCTACCCATGTGACAAAGGGCTAATAACCAAAATCTACAAAGAACTCAAACAAATTTACAAGAAAAAAGCAAACAACCCCATCAAAAAGTGGGCAAAGGATATAAACAGACACTTTTTAAAAGAAGACTTTCATGGAGCCAACAAACATATGAAGAAAAATCTCATCATCACTGGTCATTAGAGAAATGCAAATCAAAACCACATTGAGATACCATCTGAAGCCGGTTAGAATGGCGATCATTAAAAAATCTAGAGACAACAGATGCTGAGAGGATTTGCAGAAATAGGAACACTTTTACACTGTTCATGGCAGCGTAAATTAGTTCAACCATTGTGAAAGACAGTGTGGTGATTCGTCAAGGATGTAGAAACAGAAATACCATTTGACCCAGCAATTCCATTATTGGGTATATACCCAAAGGATTATAAAACATTATATTATAAAGACACATGCACATGTATGTTTAATGTGGCACTGTTTACAATAGCAAAGACTTGGAACCAACCCAAATGCCAATCAAAGATAGACTGGATAAGGAAAATGTGGCACATAGACACCATGGAATACTATGCAACCATAAACAAGGATGAGTTCGTGTCCTTTTCAGGGACATGGATCAAGCTGGAAAGCATCATTCTCAGTGGACTGACACAGGAACAGAAAATCAAACACTGCATGTTCTTACTCCTAAGTGGGTGTTGAACAATGAGAACACATGGACACAGGGAGGGGAATATCATATACTGGGTGCATGTCGGGGGGTACAGGGGGTAGGGGAGGGATAGCAAGGGGTGGAGGGATTGGGGAGGGATAACATTAGGAGAAATACCTCATGTAAATGACAGGGGGATGGATGCAGCAAACCACCAAGTCACATGTAGACCTATGTAACAAACCTGTACATTCTGCACATATACCCCAATACTTAAAGTAAAATAAAAAAATGTACCATGACAACTAGGATGGCTATGATTAAAACAAAACAAACGAACAAGAAGTATTGGTGAGGATTTGTAAGAACCTTCCTGTGTTGCTGGTGGGAATATAAATTGGCGCACCTGCTTTGAAAAACAGTCTGGGCCGGGCGCGGTGGCTCACGCCTGTAATCCCGGCACTTTGGGAGGCCGAGGCGGGTGGATCACGAGGTCAAGAGATTGAGACCATCCTGGTCAACATGGTGAAACCCCGTCTCTACTAAAAACACACAAAAAAGTAGCTGGGCATGGTGGCACATGCCTGTAATCCCAGCTACTCAGGAGGCTGAGGCAGGAGAATTGCCTGAACCCAGGAGGCAGAGGCTGCGGTGAGCTGAGATCGCGCCATTGCACTCCAGCCTGGGTAACGAGAGCGAAACTCCGTCTCAAAAAAAAAAAAAAAAAAGAAAAAGAAAAAGAAAAACAGTCTGGTAGTTCCTCAAAAAGTAAAACACAGAGTTACTATATGACCCAGTGATTCCATCACCCCTAGGTGTGCACCCAAGAGAACAGAAAACATATGTTCACACAAAACCTTGTATGTGAACGTTCACAGCAGCAATATTCATAATAGCAAGACGTGGAAAAAAACCCGAATGTCCATCAACTGATGAACAGATCTGCGTCTTACTAAGCCACTAATGGAAGATAAGTCTTATACCTTTTGAATTTGTCTGTCTTCAGCGTCTGTGCAGTGTCTGTAAGAGAGAAACGGGTTTCAGGGAGCCTAGATATTTCACAAGGGCAATGGAGGTATCCAGGGGATACAGGGAGCCTCGGGGAAGACCTAACGTTGTTTTGCTTTCTTATAATTCTCCTTAGCATTCCCAGAGGCCACCAGTAAACTGATCACCTCACTCACTCACGAAGTCTTCACAACTGGTGAGTATCCAGACATTGCATGCTCAGCAGAAAGGAGGAGTGTGAGGACAGAGCTTTCTGTTCCACTGTCTAAGCCTAGAGGCTTTTCATCAGTTCACCACACTGTCTCTTCCTAAGAAGGTCCTTGGTGTGAGGATGGAGCATGGGTGTCGAGTGGAGCTCTGGGGTTCAGAAGGAGGAGCATTTTGGGTAATGGAGCCATTGCTTCCTTCCCTCCTTCCTTCCTCGAGACAGAGACTCCCTCTGTCAACCATGCTGGAGTACAGTGGCCTGATCTCGGCTCACTGCAACCTCCATCTCCCGGGTTCAAGTGATTCTCCTTCAGTCTCACGAGGAGCCATCACACCCAGCTAATTTTCATATTTTTTCAGCAGAGATGGGGTTTCACCATATTGGCCAGTCTGGTCTCGAACTTCTGACCTCATGATCCACCCACCTTGGGCTTCCAAAGTGCTGGGATTACAGGTGTGAGCCACCGTGCCTGGCCAATGGGACCATTTCAAAGATAGCAGAGCAAGGCTGTGATGGGAAGACCGCTACTCATCCCTACACACTGCTCCCAGGATAAAGTCCTAGGCCTTCTGACTTGGCTGTGATCCAAGAATTTAATCTTGCTCCTCCCTGTGTCCATACAGAGCCCACGCTCTAGCCGCGCACAGACCGTAGGTGCCTGGACATAGCACAGCTAACCACTCCGGTCCTCCGCGGACACGCTTTCCTCACACTGCAGCTTCGTTCCCCTTGCTTTTCCTGAGAAATGTCATTTCCTTCCAGACTAATAAACACTTTCACAGATTCCCTGACACTAGGCTAGCTACCTCCACTGGGCCCATGTGACTCTGGCTTTCATGAGGCACCTGATTGCAGAGGGTTCTAACCCTCCGATGGGATCCTTCCCTATCTTCAGTTTGGGACCTCCCAGTCACCCTCAGGGAGCAGTTCCAATCGTTCAGCTTGCTGTTCCATGAGCTTAGACATCCAGCCACTGCTGATCCCTCCAACTCTGGCTGCACACCTTCCATGCGGTCCCTGTGCTGTTCTCAGCCACACACAGTCACTTAAATCTCTTCTGGAGGCTTCCTATCCTCTCCTGACTGCACCTGAGCCACTTGCTCTTCCTTTCCTTCCATTTCCCCATGGCACCAATTCCTCAAGAAACCCTTGACCATCCAGGCTGCACTGGTGGTTTCCTCTGCTCTTGCTCAGTGTCTTGTGGGCTGCTTATTCCAGCAATTTTCACAGTATATTACAGTTATCACTTTGCCTGTCATCCCAGCACTTTGACAGGCCAAGGTGGGCGGATCACCTGAGGTCAGGAGTTCGAGACCAGCCTGGCCAGCATGGTGAAACCTATTCTTTACTAAAAATACAAAAATCTCGACTGAGGGTTAAGAATTGGGCATTAAGATCAGGTGGCTCATGCCTGTAATCCCAACACTTTGGGAGGCTGAGGTAGGCAGATCACCTGAGGTCAGGAGTTCAAGGCCAACCTGGCCAACATGCTGAAACCCCATCTCTACTAAAAAAGGTAAAAATTTGCTGGGCATGGTGGTGTGTGTGTGTAGTCTTGTCTACTTGAGAGGCTGAGGCAGGAGAGTTGCTTGAACCCAGGAGGCCAAAGTTGGAGTGAGACAAGATTGTGCCACCACACTCCAGCCTGGGCAACAGAGCAAGACTCCATCTCAAGAAAAAAAATACAAAAACTAGCAGTGTGTGGTGGCACGCACTTGTAATCCCACCTACTGTGGAGGCTGAGTCAGAAGAATTGCCTGAACCTGGGAGGTGGAGGTTACAGTGAGCCAAGATCACACCACTACACTCCAGCCTGGACAACAGAGTGAGATTCTGTCTCCAAAAAAAAAAAAAAAGGCCCGGCATGGTGGCTCATGCCGGAAATTACAGCACTTTGGGAGGCTAATGAGGGTGCATCACCTGAGGTCAGGAGAGACAAGCCTGGTCAACATGGTGAAACCCCGTCTCTACTAAAAATAAGAAAATTAGCTGGGCATGGTGGCGGGTGCCTGTAATCCTAGCTACTTGGGAGGTTAAGGCAGGAGAATTGCTTAAACCCAGGAGGTGGAGGCTGCAGTGAGCCAAGATCACACCACTACACTCCAGCCTGGGTGACAGAGCAAGATTCCAACTAAAAACCAAACCAAAACAAAACAAAAAAACATTACTTTACTTCTCTGTCTCCTCCAGTAGTCTGGGAACTGCAGATGGATGGTGTCTTGTTAATATTTGGGTTCCCAAGGCCCAGCACATGGCTGAGTACCTGGCTTGTCTCAGGAGATACTCGGGGAATAGAGAGCTGGTATGTTTGAGGTGCTCATTGTATGTCAAGCACCGTGCTTTATTTTGCTACCATTATCTTGACTATCACATCAACCTATAAGGGGTATCATTAATTTTATTGGACACCTAGGAAAACTGGCTCACAGATGCTGATAATAAGTGATAGCCTTGGGTTTCAACTCTGGACAGCCTGATTCTTTAGTTCACGCTTTTTTTTTTTTTTTTCCCTGAGATGCGGTCTTGCTCTGTTTCCCAGGCTGGAGTGCAGTGGAGCAATCCTGGCTCACTGCAGCCTCAACCCCCAGGGCTCAGGTGATCTTCCTGCCTCAGCCCCCACTGAGTAGCTGGGATTATAGGCATGTATCACCACACCACGCTAATTTTTGTGTTTTTTGTAGAGATAGGATTTTTCCAAGTTGCTTAGGCTGGTCTTGAACTCTTGGACTCAAGCCATCCTCCTGCCTCAGCCTCCCACAGTGCTGGGGTTACAGGTGTGAGCCACTGTGCCCCGTCCATGCTCTTCCTAAATGATAAGGAATTCTGCTTCCCAAATGTGTGTGTTAAGGGTAGGGACAGTGACAGGGGAAGGAATATGGTTTTATTTCACACGTAGCCTTTTTTCGGTTCCCAGAGACTTCTAGGAATATCACCGCCAGTCCAAAGGAGTCAGGCTCTCCAGCTGGTGAGTCAGGCTCTCCAAACCCTCTCCCTTCTCACCCGTCTCTTCACCCAAAGCCAACTCCTTTATACAGGAACTGCAGCTCCGAGATCTTGGGTTCTAGTGTGTACAGTGAAGGCAGAATATCAGTGTATGGGGTTCAGAATTGGGCATTAAGATCAGCTGGGAAGGTTGAGATTTTCTCAAGGGTCAGAGAAAGAGACTCCATCTCTTGCCCACCCCTTATAACTGTCTTCTCTTTTGGAACGCATTGGATAAGGCAGCATCTGTGTCTGGGAAGGGGTTGTCTTTGAGCCCTGTGACAGCACATGAGGGAGAGGTGCTACTTAGAGAACTGGAGCAGGCGTCCCCAAACTACCGCCCGCGGGCCACATGTGGCCCCCTGAGGCCATTTATCTGGGCCCCCGCCCCACTTCAGGAAGGGGCACCTCTTTCCTTGGTGGTCAGTGAGAGGAGCACAGTATGTGGCGGCCCTCCAACAGTCTGAGGGACAGTGAACTGGCCCCCTGTGTAAAAAGTGTGGGGACGCCTGAACTGGAGTCATTTGGCCCTGACTCCTAATGGGGAGAGGGGAACCCTCCAGGAAAGACAATGGCATCCCAGCTGGTAGAGAATAATAGGATCTCTGAAAAGCCCAAGATGCGGCTTGGAGGGGGTCCTGGAGGTGGGCTTCTTCACCTGCTCCTGCCTCTCCTCACTCCTCCAGGTCGCCAGTACTACACCAAGGGCAACCTGGTCCGGATATGCCTCGGAGCTGTGATCCTAATACTCCTGGCAGTGTTTCTGGCAGAGGACTGGCACAGCCGGAGGAAGCACCCGCGGCACAGGGTCAGGGCTGTGCAGAGGCAGCTCCCACCCCTCCCACAGCCCCGGAAATCACACGGGAGTCAGGATGGAGGTCGACCAGATGTTCACAGCTACGGGTTCTGTTCATGACCAGTGAACCCCAGGCATGGTCATATCCAAGGGATGGATCATGGCGCGGGACACAACTCAAACACTGTGGCATACGTGAAGCATGGGATCAGGAGGGCTGAGGCTACCGCTTGGAAAGGAGGCCATGTTGCCTCCTCCTGGTGTTCCATCAAGGAGACGTTCAGCTATGTCTGTCTGGCTCTCTGTCCAAGGATGCCCTCCATCTGGGATGGAAGGAATCCGTGGAGACCTCAGACTCCTCCCTGCACACTGTGGATCACATGGTACCCTGGCTGGACGACATACTGGCCTGTTTCTTCAACCTTCTGTAATATGGGCTGTAGATGACTCTCTAACGTTCCCAGCTCTCATGGTTGACTCTGTTCCATCTTTTGTGCAGAATCATCCCATGCTTCCCCTTGGCCCTCTGTGCTCGTCTGGTTTTCCCCAGAAACCCTCACCCTAACTCCATCTACCACTGCAGTCTAACATATCTTTCATTTCTCAGAATGGGCCTTGCGGACAGTTTGGCTATGTCATTCATTTTCCTTAGTCTAAAACTAGCACGTTATTGCTTTCCTTCACTTTAGAAAACAAGATCAGCGGCTGGGCGTGGTGGCTCAAGCCTGTAATCCCAGCACTTTGGGAGGCCGAGGTGGGTGGATCACGAGGTCAAGAGATCGAGACCATCCTGGTCAACATGGTGAAACCCCGTCTCTACTAAAAATACAAAAAAATTAGCTGGGCATGGTGGCATGTGCCTGTAATCCCAGCTACTCAGGAGGCTGAGGCAGGAGAATTGCCTGAACCCAGGAGGCGGAGGTTGTGGTGAGCCGAGATCGCACCATTGCACTCCAGCCTGGGTAACAAAAGCAAAACTCCATCTCAAAAAAAAAAAAAAAAAAAGAAAAAAGAAAACAAGATCAGCCTGTGCAACATGGTGAAACCCCATCTCTACCAAAAACAAAAACAAAACAAAAAACAAAATTAGCCAGGTGTGGCGACACATGCCTATAGTCCCAGCAACTCAGGGAGCTGAGGTGGGAGAATGGCTCGAGTCCGGGAGGCAGAGGTTGCAGTGAGCTGAGATCACACCACTGCATTTCAGCCTCAGTGACAGAGCCAGATCTTGTCTCAAAAAATAAAGTGATGGGCCGGGTGCGGTGGCTCAAGCCTGTAATCCCAGCACTTTGGGAGGCCGAGGTGGGTGGATCACGAGGTCAAGAGATCGAGACCATCCTGGTCAACATGGTGAAACCCTGTCTCTACTAAAAATACAAAAAAATTAGCTGGGCATGGCGGCGCATGCCTGTAATCCCAGCTACTCCGGAGGCTGAGGCAGGAGAATTGCCTGAACCCAGGAGGCGGAGGTTGCGGTGAGCCGAGATCACGCCATTGCACTCCAGCCTGGGTAACAAGAGCGAAACTCCGTCTCAAAAAAAAAAAAAATTTAAAAATTTAAAAAAATAAAAATAAAAAAATAAAGTGATGAATATGCTAATTATCCCATCTGATCATAACACACAGTATACATGTATTGAATTATTGCTACCTACCCCATAAATAGGTACAATTATGTATAAATTTTTCAAATAAAAATAAAATAAGATAATGCACCATCTCCACCCCTCTCATAATTACTTTCTGAAGGAAATGTTAGGTCTTCTGAAAGTAGAGTTCTATACTTATTATAGCATTTAGGCATTTCTTGATCATCTAATGAGTGTAAAACTATACCAGTGGGCCTGGTACAGTGAATCATGTCTATCATCTTAGCACTTTAGGAGGGCAAGGCAGGAGGATCACTTAAGCCGAGGAGTTCAAGACCAGTCTGGGCAATATAGTAAGGCCCCATTCTCCACTAAAAATAAAGAAGATAAAAAGTTTTTTAAAAAAGGAAAAGAATGGCTAGTAAATAAAACTCATGCCTGTAATCCCAGCACTTTAGGAGGCTGAAGTGGGTGGATCACTTGGGAAAAGACAGAAGGAAGCAGACAGAAGCTTCAGGATGACAGCTTTGAATCAGGTCTAGTGAGCACACAGCTTAGGTGAAGCCTTAGGAACGGGAAGGCTGCTTAGAGAAATCTCCAAATGTAAGAATGAGTCAATTGTTTGTCTTAACAAGTGGAAAATCATACTGAGAAGCTATTAAAAGACAGAGGAAAAATAATTATAGCAGTCAAGTAAACTAAGTAGATTTAAAAAAGACAAGTATAGCTTGGGCACAGTGGCTCATATCTGTAATCTCAGCACTTTTGGAGGCTGAGATAGGATCGCCTGAGCCCAGAAGTTTCAGACCAGCTTGGACAACACGGTGAAACGCCATCTCATATACAAAAAACACAAAAATTAGCTGGGTATGGTAGCACATGCCTACTCTCAGGTACTCAGGAGACTGAGGATGGGGATCACCTGAACCCAGGGAGGATGGGGATCACCTGAGCCCAGGGAGGATGGGAATCACCTGAGCCCAGGGAGGTTGAAGCTGCAGTGAGCCATGACTGCACCACTGCTCTCAAGCCTGGTGACACGAGTGAGGCCCTGCCTCAAAAGAAAATGAAAAAGACAAAATACAAACTTTAGGGGAAGAAAAAAAAAAAATAAAGGAAGCAAGTTATATTACCTGAAAATTCTCAGCTGTGAGTATCTGTGAGTATAAAAATGTGATAATACTGATATACAGACATAGACATCAACATTGAAAGAGAAAAAACAACAAGAACAACACTGTAGGAGAACTAAGTCCCCGCCTATTATGATAGGAATCTAGTCTAAGCTCATTATTCACATGGTTACACATTTTTAGAAACCTAATATTAACAAGACCTAAAGAAAACAGCTTAAAGTAGGTGTGTCTCTTAGGCAGAGCAATTTAGAGATGGTTGGTTAGCCATTGCATTTTGTATATACCCTTTTAGTGCTATTGAAGTTTTTAAAGTAGATGCATGTATATTTTTATAACAAAACAAATAACAACAGTATACATGTTTTCTTTCAGAAGTATGCTGTTAAACAGAATTAACAACAGGGAAGCCTCAAAATTGTTTCCTTCAGGGGAGAAGACATTGATGGGGGAAAGTTCTGAAACACCTGCTTTGCATACTGCTGCTTTGCAGTTAAAAAATCACATTTTAACTTCAAAGTATCCGAACTAATAACACAGCTTTATAATAACACATTACAAATATTACAACGTCATAAAAATGCAAGTAATGCAGAGTGGAAATGCAAAGCTATGTGTGCTAGAAGGCTAACACTCAATGAGTCACGATAACAAAATTAAAAAAACAAGGTAGTTGTGACTTACCTTGGTCAATCACTTTCCATAGTAATTGAAGCCATGTAATCTGGGAATTTCATCTCCGAAATGAAGGAAAAAAGCAAAAGAAGGTAGTGGAGAGGTCTCTGACGGGCTGAAGGGAGATGTGGGTGCCTGAGCTGAGCCGAGTCACTCAAATGGCACACCTGATGCTACGTTTTGACTTGGGGCTGAGGAGGAGAGGGAAGAGACAAGTTCCCCCAGGCCACTTCCGGTCTTCTGACTTCACTTCCTGCCTGCCCTCTGAGAGTACGTCCGGTGTTGACGTCACTTCCTGCCTTCAGACGGCGTGTAAGTCCTCATTTCCTGTCTTCTCTCGCCACTTCCTGTCTGCTGACTTTGCTTCCTGTCTTGATTTCACTTCCTGCCGGTTTTTTTTTTTTTTTTGAGATGGAGTGTCGCTCTTGTTACCCAGGCTGGAGTGCAATGGCGCGATCTCGGCTCACCGCAACCTCCACCTCCTGGGTTCAGGCAATTCTCCTGCCTCAGCCTCCTGAGTAGCTTGGATTACAGGCACGCACCACCACGCCCAGCTAGTTTTTTGTATTTTTAGTAGTGGCGGGGTTTCACCATGTTGACCAGGATGGTCTCGATCTCTCGACCTCGTGATCCACCCGCCTCGGCCTCCCAAAGTGCTGGGATTACAGGCTTGAGCCACTGCGCCCGGCCTTTTTTTTTTTTTTTTTTTGACAGGGTCTCATTCTGTCGCCCAGGCTGGAGAGCAGTTGTGCGACCTTGAAACAGCCTTTGCAAAATTATAACTGAGTCAGTGAAAAAGATTTCACTTAACTGATTCCATTTGGGTTCTCACCTCCAAGCTGTCCTTTTTCATTCCTGGGCGTAGGCTGAACTAACTTGAGGAGAAACTTCGTTTACAGTTTATAGTTTAAACAAAGACGATAGCCCTTTCCCAAAGCAGACCTCTTTCTTGCTTGGGGACTAGATTGCCTGTGTAGGACTAGTAGCCACAAGGTTAGAAATTACGGTTTTGTAAGGTTAACCGAGAGAAAGGATAATAGACCCAAAGTCAGGTAAGCAAGTTTTATTTACCTGCCCGGCTGCCCTGTAACAATTAGAGGAGGCAGCCCCAAGCTTACAAAATGAGAGGTTTATATGGGGAGACGGACATAAGAGAGTTTCAGGACCAAGGTAGTAACAGACTTACATCATCCTGTGACTTTTGTGGTGGCAGTTTTAAAAAAGATTTTACAGATATGTGTAAAACAGGAATTTACAAGTATGGATAACAAAGGTTTGCTTTCCCTGTCCTCCCCCTGGGCTGCCCAGATGGCTGTAATCAGGCCTTTGCTTAATTGTAACCCATCTGGCAACCTTGATGTGGCACCTAGATAGATGTTCAGGATTGCAGCTGCGGAGTAATCACGTTGGGGGGGCGGGTGGGGGGTCAGCTTGTGGAAAGGGTTTTCTGAGGCAACTTGTTCCCAGCAGGTTTAGGAGTCATGCAGCTGGAGGCTACCCTAAACTGCTCTCAAACTGCTCCTAAGATCAGTGCTTGAGATAATTTACAGACCCTGCACTTAATGGATCAGCTGACACCACTGAGTTTAATAAACTGGCTTATCTCAGGCGTCCCCCAACTACGACCCGCGGGCCGCATGCGGCCCCCTGAGGCCATTTATCCGGCCCCCGGCCGCACTTCAAGTAGGGGCATCTCTTTCATTGGTGGTCAGTGAGAGGAGCACAGTATGTGGCGGCCCTCCAACGGTCTGAGGGACAGTGAACTGGCCCCCTGTGTAAAAAGTTTGGGGACGCCTGGCTTATCTGATCTTGTGGCCCCCACCCAGGAACTGACTGATTGCAAGAAGATAGTGTCAACTCCCTGATCTCATCCCTGACCCATCAGCACTTCTGGCTCACTGGCTTCCCACTCACCCATCACGTTATCCTTAAACACTCTGTTCCCTGAATGCTTGGAGACACTAAAACTCTGGTTTCTCGCACAGCTGGCTCTGAGTGAATTACTCTTTCTCTATGAGATTCCCTGGTCTTGATAAATCAGCTCTGTCTAGGCAGTGGGCAAGGTGAACCCCTTGGGCAGTTACTATCTCATCTCACTGCACCCTTCACCTCCTGGGTTCAAGCAATTCTTCTGCCTCAGCCTCCCAAGTAGCTGGGATTACAGACATGCACTGCCATGCTCAGCTAAATTTTGTATTTTTAGTAGAGATGGGGTTCACCATGTTGACCAGGCTGGTCTAGAACTCCTGATCTCATGTGGTCCACCTGCCTCTGCCTCCCAAAGTGCTGGGATTACAGGTGTGCACTTCCTGCCTTTACTTGCACAGTGCATGACATTTTCTTGATCTACACTGCTCTGTCTGGGTGAGAAGGGGAAGCCTGGAGAAGCCTGGGCCAGGGCTCAAGGAATGAGCAAGAGAAGAAGGGATGTGGTTACCATGGAAGTTGTTTTGGGGCACAGGATGTGGTCTGGGATTGGGGATTGTGAAAATGGATGACCCTCACCGAGGTCTGTCTGCCACAGCTGTGGCTGAGCCAGAGGATCTTGAATAGAAGAGAGTTCTTTCTATTCTTGTGGAACAGCTAAGATTGAGCAACGTGTGACTTAACTCATGGGAGTGACCTTAGCTTTGAGAAGCCTGAAAATGAGGCTTGGAGGTAGAGAGGGGTATGTGTGTATGCTGGGCAAGGGGGTCAGGCTCTCATGATCTCTGGCTCTGCTTTTTTTGCTCCAGAACATTTCCCAAGCCCACTTATCTGGGCTAACCCAGCCCTTGTGCTTCCTGGGTGCAAATGCGGCCATGGGATTGTGGAATCATTTTTTTGTATCCTTATCAGAGACCCCAGTGAATACTTTGTTCTTGATCTCCAATGTGACGAGATCCAGAGCAAGCAAGTGCTAATGCTGCTGTGAGCCTGGGGCCACATTTTCAGAACTCAGTGATGGGCAGAGGCAGGTGGTCACAGGTGAGGAGGTGTGAGAAGCAAGACAGCAGTACTTGTTCATCTCTGAACACCTACAGATTCACCCATGTGCCCCGTTTCAGTTTTCAGTACGTGCCTGTCATGAGGGTGGCCAGATGAAATACACACGTTGGAGAAAGATGGTTAATTATGAGTGCAAGGTTACATTTTATGGGCCCCTGGGGTGTCAATACAGTTCCTAAATGAATGCACATACATTACTCAATTTCTTCCCTTTTTTTTTTTGAGAGGTCTCGCTCTTTTGCCCAGGCTGGAGTACAGTGGCATGATCTCTGTTCACTGCAACCTCCCCCTTCTTGTACCTCAGCCTCCCAAGTAGCTGAGATTACAGGCGCCTGCCACCATGCCCACCTAATTTTTTGTATTTTTGGTAGAGATGGGGTTTTACCATATTGGCCACACTGGTCTCGAACTCCTGACCTTGTGATCCACCCACCTCAGCCTCCTGAAGTGCTAGGATTACAGGCGTGAGCCACTGCACCTAGCCTCAATTTCTTCTCAAAGATGGGGCTAGATAGCTGGGCTCAGTGGCTCAAGCCTGTAATCCCAGCACTTTGGGAGGCCGAGGCGGGTGGATCACGAGGTCAAGAGATCGAGACCATCCTGGTCAACATGGTGAAACCCCGTCCCTACTAAAAATACAAAAAATTAGCTGGGCATGGTGGCACGTGCCTGTAATCCCAGCTACTCAGGAGGCTGAGGCAGGAGAATTGCCTGAACCCAAGAGGTGGAGGTTGTGGTGAGCTGAGATCACACCATTGCACTCCAGCCTGGGTAACAAGAGCAAAACTCCATCTCAAAAAAAAAAAAAAAAAAAAAAAAGGTGGGGCTAGATTACAATGGTTCTCAACCTAAGGAAATTTTGCATTTCAGGAAATATTTTCTAATTCCCAGTGACATTTTTGGTCATAACTGAGGATGCTGGTGTCTAGTCAGTGGAGGCTAGGGATGGTGCCAAACACCCTATAAATGTACAGGACCATGTTTACCAGCAAGCAGTAATCTGGCCCCAAAATGTTAATAGTGTGGAAAATAAGAAATCTTTGGTTTCTTCATGTAATGTCCTTTTTAAACTTCGTGCCTCTTTTACCAACTTTCCCCCTTCCTCCCGCTGAACCTGAGAATAAACACGCTCTGGAGGCCAGGCATGGTAGCTCACATCTGTAATTCCAGCACTTGGGGAGGCTGAGGCAGGTGGATTGCTTGAGGCCAGGAGTTCAAGACCAGACTGGCCAACATGATGAAACCCTGTCTCTACTAAAAATACTAAAATTAGCTGGGTGTCTGTAATCCCAGCTGCACGGGAGATGGAGGCTGAGGCAGGAGAAGTGCTTAAACTTGGGAGGCAGAGGTTGCAGTGAGTTGAAATCACACCACTGCACTCCAGCCTGGGCAATAGAGTGTGACTCCATCTCAAGGAAAAAAAAAAAAAAAAAAAAAAGAGGAAATACCAAGTCAAAGATTGGCAAGGCAACAGAAATCAGTGCAACTAAACACTGTCCCTCCCCCCGGCCCCTCAGGTTCTCCCCATTAAGATATCTTTTCTCTAACTTGTCAAAGCCCATTACTAAGTAACAGCTTCATTTGTGAATGCTCTCACCTTTATTTCTCTCCATATACCCGTGATACAGATATTTCATACATAACAAGGTCAAGGACATACACATGTTCTACCTAAAACAGAGGCAGAACCGTGACTAAAACATCTAGCCCGGCAATCAACTCATTTCCCCGAGGAGTGGGGGTGGGGTGTGGGGGGGAGTCACAGACAGTTCACCAACACCTGGGAAATCCTTGGCTTCATTGAGAATGAATGACTCTGGGGGGGGATTCAGACAATGAAGTAGCCAGAAGAAGGCCTTTTTTTCCAGGGCTCTTGATTCTCAGTAGCAATAGTCAGTTGTGGGTTGCTGCCTTCTATTTCTTTCAGCAGCGTATCGAGTTCATCAGTAACGTCATCTATTTTCAACCTGGGGTACAATGGGGGAAGAAAAGGTTACCTTTTGGGTCAAGGAGGTTTGTTTCAAATTTCCAAGAGGCACAGAGCATGGGTCACCTTTCCTGATTATTCTATGTGGCAAAGGAAGCATTCCATATTGATTTTCTTTCTTTACTTTTTTTTTTTTTTGAGATGGAATCTCTGTCACCTAGGCTGGAGTGCAGTGGCATCATCTACACTCACTGCAACCTCTGCCTCCCAGGTTGAGGCCATCTGATCCCTCAGCCTCCTGAGTAGGTGGAACTACAGGCACTTGCCACAACTCTCAGCTAATTTTTGTGTTTTTAGTAGAGTTGGGGTTTCACCATGTTGCCCAGACTGGTCTCAAACTCCTCGGCTCAAGTGGTCTGCCCACTTTGGCCTCCCAAAGTGTTGGGATTACAGGCATGTGCCACTGCACCTGGCCTGACTTGCTTATTTTTAATTTTTAAATATAAAATGAGGCCAGGTGTGGTGGGTCATGCCTGTAAGTCCCAGCACTTTGGGAAAGTGAGGTGGATGGATCAATGAGGTCAGAAGTTTGAGACCAGCCTAGCCAACATGGTTGAGGCCCATCTCTACTAAAAATAAAAAAGTTAGCTGGGTGTGGAGGTACATGCCTATAGTCGCGGTTACTCAGGAGGCTTGAGGCAGGAAGAATCACTTCAACCTGGGAGGCAGAGGTTGTGGTGAGCCAAGATCAGGCCACTGCACTCCAGGACTGAGCAACAGAATGAGACCTTGTCTCAAAAATAAATAAATATACAATTAAAGACTTTCCTTTCCCTTTTTAATCCTTTTGTTCATTCCTCTTTCTTCTCACTCCCAACCAGTGTTGATCCGATAGAGAAGAAGATAACATCAGATTAACCTTGTAATGGTATAAAGCCACTGTGCAGTTTTAGATGGTTGTTAATAACTGTATCATACACAGAGAAATGGAATTGCTGAGTACGGCTGGGCTATAGCTCTAATACCTACCTACCTGCTCCATCACCCACTTTGGCAACTTCTACTCGGCAGACCCAGGAGTACCACTTCAACAGAGGAGATGCATACGTTGAACCAAGCCAGCCAGACCAGCTTTTGTCCTCTGCACCCAGGCTTGGCTACAAGATACCAGCCTACTACAACCATTTATTGGCCTGCGATGATGACAGCCTGTGTTGGGATTACAGGCATGTGCCACCGCACCTGGCCTGATTCTGTGGTAGCCGTATTTAGCCATATGTATGTGGAAATGGGAGGCAGGACAGGAAGAAGGAATCATTAAGGCAAAATATGAATAAAATTAAGAGACCAGAAGATATTAGTAGTCATACTTATTAGGACTATAGTTCTGACTTTTGGTATCAGTTTTGTTGTTTGAGATTCTCAATACGCCTATCCAGCCACATACTGGCTTGAGCAGGTACCTTGTCTGCAGCTAAAATAATGTGAGGGTATGGCTGGGTGCGGTGGCTCACACCTGTAACCCCAGCACTTTGGGAGGCTGAGGCTGGCAGATCACGAGGTCAGGAGTTCAAGACCAGCCTGGCCAACATGGTGAAATCTGTCCTCTACTAAAAAATACAAAAAATTAGCTGAGCGTGGTGGCAGGTGCCTGAGATCTTGCCATTGCACTACAGCCTGGGCAACAAGAGTGAAACTCTGTCTCATAAATAAATAAAAATAGCCGGTGTGGTAGCTGACGCCTGTAATCCCAACACTTTGGCAGCCCGAGGCAGGTGGTTCATGAGGTCAAGAGATCAAGAGCATCCTGGCCAACATGGTGAAACCCCATCTCTATTAAAAATACAAAAAATTCGCTGGCCATGGTGGTGTGCGCTTGTAGTCCCAGTGACTTGGGAGGCTGAGGTGTTAGAATCACTTGAACCGGGAGGCAGAGGTTGCAGTGAGCTGAGATTGTGCCACTGCCCTCCAGCCTGGTGACAGAGCAAGACTTCATCTCCAAAAAATAATAAATAAATAAATAAATAAATAAAATAGAAAAAATGAAAGCTTAATAAAATCCTTACTGTCCATATATCTTTTGACTTACAAAGTGTCTTAGGCTGAGATTTATGTTAAGTAAACAGGCAATCTGTATTTCTTCTACATCAAGATTATTTTAAGCCAGCAGTGGACTATGTTGGTTTTGCGGATTTCTACAAGTTCCTGCAATCCTAGGAAATGGCTCTGGGTTCTGATGCCATGGTATCGAAATACAACCCAGGCCGGGGCGTGGTGGCTCATGCCTGTAATCCCAACACTTTGGGAGGCCAAGGCAGGTGGATCACCTGAGGTCAGGAGTTCTAGACCAGCCTAGCCAACATGTTAAAACCCTGTCTCTACTAAAAATACAGAAATCAAGCCGGGCGCGGTGGCTCAAGCCTGTAATCCCAGCACTTTGGGAGGCCGAGGCGGGTGGATCACGAGGTCAAGAGATCGAGACCATCCTGGTCAACATGGTGAAACCCCGTCTCTACTAAAAATACAAAAAATTAGCTGGGCATGGTGGCGCGTGCCTGTAATCCCAGCTACTCAGGAAGCTGAGGCAGGAGAATTGCCTGAACCCAGGAGGCGGAGGTTGCGGTGAGCCGAGATCGCGCCATTGCACTCCAGCCTGGGTAACAAGAGAGAAACTCCGTCTCAAAAAAAAAAAAGAAAAAAAAAATACAGAAATCAGCCAGGCGTGGTGGCAGCCACCTGTAATCCCAGCTATTTGAGAGGATGAGGCAAGAGAATCGCTTGAACCCGGGAGGCGGAGGTTGCAGTGCGCTGAGACCATGCCATTGCACTCCAGCCTGGGCAACAAGAACAAAACTGCATCTCAAAAAAAAACACAAGAAAAAAGGGCAGCAGGTAACTGGTGACAGCGTCTATATCCCAGACTCCGGTCAGTAGACAGCAGACTCAATCCGGAGAACACACTTCCAAGGCTGACAGTGACAGATCTCTTTCCCCGAGCACCATTTGAGATCTGTGATTTGGTGTCTCTCAGGAAACAGTAGCTGACGGTACTCCCCTTCACTAAAGCCATAAATCTAGCTTCTTGGCTGCTGACTAAGTATGAATTTCATTCTTTGAGCCATCTTACTCGACAAAGCAGAAGGAATCTATGGGAGACTCATTGGGTGGACAGACACCACTGGCTGAGAGCTGGATCAGTCTCCTACAGCAGATTCCTGGATTATGCTTCCCCTAAACCTACTACCCTGGAGAAAGCCTGAGAGGGAGTACATGGGTCGTACCTGAGTGTCTGGAGGGTGCCATTTGCACGTGTCAGGGTTTCAAACAGCAACTTTACTCCACTATACCCCAAGGAATTCTCGCCCAGGTCCAGAGTGATGAGGGTCTGGTTGCAGCTGAGGACACAGCAGAGATTCTCACAACTGGCCGGAGGGATGGAACATCCCCACAACCTGGTGAAAGACAGAAATCAATACGTTCGTTCAGCCAGTGCTGACCAGCACCCTCCTGTGAGCCAAGGGCACCCTTGGGTGTTGGGGAATCTGCGTGAGCAACAGAAGTCTCGGCCGGGTGCGGTGGCTCAGGCCTGTGTCTCAGCACTTTGGGAGGCCGAGGTAGGTGGATCACCTGAGGTCAGGGGTTCGAGGCCAGCACAGGGAACATGGAGAAAGCCCGTCTCTACTAAAAATACAAAATTAGCCAGGTGTGGTGGTGCGTGCCTATAGTCCCAGCTATTTGGGAGGCTGAAGCAGGAGAATAGCTTGAACCCGGGAGGTGGAGTTTGCAGTGAGCAGAGATAGTGTTATTGCACTCCAGCCTGAGCAACCAGAACGAAACTCTGTCTCAAAAAAAACCACAAAAAACTACAACATTGACTCAGTCTCTTGGCTAAAAAATTAAAAAATAAATAAATAAATCTAAAACAAAAACAAAAAAACTCTGCCCTCAAGACTCGTCTAACAGGAAAATATGGAGTGTCCGAGGGGTTAAGGGCAAGGCGTACAGGGAGTAGCTGGGTGTTCCAGCTACAATGGTTGGAGGTGACAGGGTAAAGAGACTGAGTCATAGAGTTTGGGGGTTCTCCAGGCAGAGAAATAGCTTGTACAAAGGCCCTGGGGTTGCATGTGATTGACACGTAAAACAGAACATCCAGGCAGCGGCATGAGAGTGAGCCAGGGAGGACTGTAGGGATGAGAACACAGGGAAGAGGTGACCTGAGGCCACCGTAAATACAGAGTTTCACTTGGACTGACATAGGCAAGCGCTGAGGGTTTTGAGCAGAGAGATTAAATATTAAGTAACTTCCATCTTATAAGTTACTCTCTTTTGAGACGGAGTCTCCCTCTGTCATTGAGGCTTGAGTGCTATGGTGTGATCTTGGGGACTGCAACCTCAGTGTCCCAGATTCAAGCCAATTCTCGTGCCTCAGTCTCCCCAATAGACGAGATTACGGCTATGTGCTACCATGCCTAGCTAATTTTTGTGTTTTTAATAGAGACGTGGTTTCACCATGTTGGCCAGGCTGGTCTCAAACTCCTGACCTCAGGTGATCCGCCCATCTCAGCCTCCCAAAGTGCTGGGATTACAGGTATCAGCCACCGTGCCCGGCCCAATTCCTACCTCTCTGAATGTGGGGTGTTGGCAGTGGTTTCATCTGCATGGCTTGAGGCATTGTATCCTCAGAATTTCACAGCTGGTCTTTGCCTGACACAGACTAGAACTTACTCCTTTAACCATCCTAGTGAATGCTCGACTGACCTCCCAATTACATCACCGGGAAGTCTGCTTCACTGATTGTTTTTACATTAGACACAGATTGAATAAGGTATAAAAGTTGTAAGTTGAAATTATAAGCTAACTCACCACAGACGTTTCAAGTTACACAGTGGTTTCTTCAAAGCCTCACATAGGCCCCGCACTCCGGGAACTCCTATGTCATTCCGCCCCAGATCCAAGTTCGTTAGGCTTGATTTTTCGTGGAGAAGCTTTGCGAGGTGACAGCAGCCGTTGCTGGTTATGTCACAGTTCCACAGCCTAGAAGCCAACCACACGAAGAGAAAAACCCAAACCTGTTAGTTCTCACGGGTGTGACGCACCTTCGACTCTGAGCCATGGGTTTCAGACACACTTAGAGACAATGGTGACATGGGAATGGAATCATGGGGTGGGGCGGTGGCCAGAAGAATGGTCTCCCCCAAGATGTCTAAGTCCTAACTCCTGGCACCTGCCAGCAACAGGGACCTCCTAGATGTGACTCAGAACCTTTTTTTTTTTTGAGATGGAGTTTTGTTCTTTTAGACCAGGCTGAAGTGTGGTGGCACAATCTCGGCTCACTGCAACCTCCACCTCCCGGGTTCAAGCGATTCTCCTTGAATTGCTTGATAGCTGGGATTACAGGCATGCACCACCACGCACAGCTATTTTTGTATTTTTAGTACAGATGGAGTTTCACCATGTTTTTGTATTTTTAGTAGAGATGGGTTTTCTCCATGTCGGTCAGGGTGGTCTCAAACTCCCAACCTCAGGTGATACGCCCACCTCAGCTTCCCCAAGTGCTGGGACTGCAGGTGTGAGCCACCACACCTGGCTGAGATTTGACTGAGAATCTTAAGATGGGGAGATTGTCCTGGTTTATTTGAGTAGGTCCATTGCAATCACAGGGATCCTGATAAGAGAGAGCAGAGAGTCGAAGCCAGCAAGTGACATGACAAGGGAGCCAGAGCAATGTTGGAACATGCTATGCTGCTGACGTCGAAGGAAGGGCCACAAGCCAAGGAGTGCAGGCGGCAACAGAAGTCAGAGAAGTAAAAAGGATTCTCAGCAGGGGACAGTGACTCACGCCTCTAATCCCAGCACTTTGGGAGGCTGAAGTGGGTGGATCCCTTGAGGTCAGGAGTTTGAGACCAGCCTGACCAACATGGAGAAATCCCATCTCTACTACAGATACACAATTAGCTGGGCGTGATGGCACACATCGGCAATCCCACCTACTCAGAGGCCGAGGCGGGAGAATTGCTTGAACCTGGAAGGCAGAGGTTGTGGTGAGCCAAGACCCCTCCATTGTACTCCAGACTGGGTAACAAGAGCAAAACTCGGAAACTCCTTCTCAAAAAAGAAAAAAAAAAAAGTCTCTGAACCATCAGTGTAGACACAAGTTTTTTTCTTTTTCTTTTTTTGAGACAGTGTTGACCTGTCACTCAGGCGCCATCTCAGCTCACTGTAGCCTCCACCTCCTGGGTTCAAGTGATTCTCCTGCCTCAGCCTCCTGAGTAGCTGGGACTGTAGGCACACACCACCATGCTCGGCTAATTTTTGTATTTTTAGTAGAGACACGGTTTCACCATGTTGGCCAGGCTGGTCTCAAACTCCTGACCTCAGGTGACCTGCCTGCCTTGGCCTCCCAGAGTACCAAGATTACAGGTGTGAGCCACAGTGCCCAGCCCTCATTCCTTTCTAAACATTTGTCCTGTTATTATTATTTTTAAAAACACTCTTGCTCTATTTCCCACACTGGACTGCAGTGGTGAAGTCTCAGCTCACTGCCACCTCTACCTTCTGGGTTCAAGTGATTCTCCTGACTCAGCTTTCTGAGTAACTGTGATTACAGACATATACCACCCCGCCCGGCTAATTTTTATATTTTTAGTAGAAACGGGGTTTCATTGTGTTAGCCGGGCTGGTCTCGAACTTCTGTTCTCAAGGGATTTGCCTGCCTCGGCCTCCCAAAGTGCTGGGATTACAAGCATGAGCTGCTGCACCCAGCTACCCGTCCTGTGATTTTAGTATTAATGGGAGGATTAAATTGAGCATGTAGCTTCCAATAGCTTCCACAGAGAGTCAGCATACACTGGCTCAGAAGGCTGCCTGATTTGCAAATCATTCATAAAAAAAAAAAAAAAGAGAAAGGCCGGGCACGGTGGCTCAAGCCTGTAATCCCAGCACTTTGGGAGGCCTAGGCAGGTGGATCACAAGGTCAAGAGATCGAGACCATCCTGGTCAACATAGTGAAACCCCGTCTCTGCTAAAAATACAAAAATTAGCTGGGCATGGTGGCGCGTGCCTGTAATCCCAGCTACTCAGGAGGCTGAGGCAGGAGAATTGCCTGAACCCAGGAGGCGGAGGTTGTGGTGAGCCGAGATCGCGCCATTGCACTCCAGCCTGGGTAACAAAACCAAAACTCCGTCTCAAAAAAAAAAAAAAAAAAAAAGAGAAAATAGCTTCCATCTACAACCAGTTACATGTAATTTACATTATACAGCTATAGTTCTAAGAACACAGATTAAGAGAAAAAATAGCGTGGGGCGCGATGGCTCATGCCTGTAATCCTAGCATTTTGGGAGGCCAAGATGGGCAGATTGCTTGAGCTCGGGAGTTCGAGACCAGCCTAGGCAACATGGTGAGACCCCCCATGTCTAAACTATATACATACAAAAAGAGAAGAAAAAAAAAAAAACCCTGAAAACCAGCTACATCCTCCAAATCCCTGTAGAATATTACTACTTTTTTAATTTTCATTTTTTTCTTTTTTCTTTTTTTATACTACTAGCACTTCTTATACTTTTTTCCTATCATCATCTCCCCAGGTCTCACCAGTTACAACCATTAGCATCATGCTTGGGGCACTGAGAGAAATTAAGTATGCTTATAAACACCGGACTCGAACCCAGTGTGTATGTGTGGGGATATGCATATACACCCACGCACACAGGCAGTCAGCAGGGACTCAGGGACTCACACCAGGGTCTGTAGTTTACAGTCGGGGTAACTCAAGCCCCCACACAGAAACTTCACCCCCGTATCCCCGAGGGGGTTCTCGGCCAAGCACAGGTGCATCAGCTCCCGGCTGACAACCAAAATGGCAGCCAGGTCCTTGCAATTGGCTTCTGTAAGGTGACAGTTTTCCAACCTGTGTTAGAACAAAAGAATCACAAATGGCAACATGGTGAGAACACTTCCAATTTCAGCCTTCTCGGCTGTCTCCAAATGCTAGCATCCCCTTCTTGTGAACTCCCCACCCTCTCTCCTGCCCTGGTGATCATCTGAAGGAATAGCAATGAGAGAACAAGACTGAGAAGCCATCTGTCCGGATCTCAACATGGGAACAGGTGTTCCTATCAGTGAGAGGTTCCACGCAGCCAAGTCGGCCATGACTGTTTCTCATCTACGGCCCCAGGTGGAAACCACAGCAGCTCTGAAGAGAAAAGAGACTTACGACAACCTCTGCAGGAGGCATTTTGGGTGTTTCAAAGTTGTGTACAGCAACTTGGCACCCTCATCCAGGAGCTCACTGTTGGAGACGTTCACGCACGTCAGGGACCGGTTGACTTCAAGGGCCAAGGAGAGATCAGCCCACTGCTGAGTGGTAGCGGAACAAGACACCAACCTGTGGGAGAAATGGGAACAAGTCATTCCAGTCATTTCTGAGGATCCAAATGCCAGGGACCCGTCTTTGGCTTCCATCTCACTGGTTATGTTACACCCTGATTTGAATGATCTGGATCAGTGGTTGTCAAAGGGTGGTGCCCGGACCAGCAGCATCAGGATCGCCCAGGAGTCAGCTAGAAATATCGAACCTCAGTCAATGTAACAAAAACTTTGATGCAGAGTCCACTCACCTGTGTTTCATTGTTTCCCGAAAGAGTCATGCTCCGTTGCCCAGGCTGGAGTGCAGTGATTCAACCTCAGCTCTCAGTAACCTCTACCTCCCGGTTTCAAGCAATTCTCCCGCCTCAGCCTCCGAGTATCTGGGACTACAGGTGTGTGCCATCTTGCCCGGATAATTTTTGCATTTTTAGTAGGGATGGGATTTCACCATCTGGTCTTTGAGACCAGACACCAGGCTGGTCTCAAACTCCTGACTTCAAATGATACGCCAGCCTCAGCCTCTCAAAGTACTGGGATTTAGGCATGAGCCACCGCACCTGGCCCCACTAACCTACGTTTCAAGGTGCTCTGTGTTCATCCGGAAAATGTGCTAGAACAAATTCCTAGGCCCTATCCCATGATTCAGAGAAGGTGGGATAGGGCCCAAGAATCTGCATTTTGCTAAGTTTCCAGGTGATGCGGCTTCTCTTGCTCTGCGGTCCACAGGCTGAGAAACACTCAGAAATCCAGTCAACTGAGCACGTCCTAGAACACGGCACCATATTGTATTCATAAAGCCTCCTATGGGCAAAAGGAACCTCGCCGGAACGTTTAAAAATCCTTGGCCGGGGGCGGTGGCTCAAGCCTGTAATCCCAGCACTTTGGGAGGCCGAGGCGGGTGGATCACGAGGTCGAGAGATCGAGAGCATCCTGGTCAACATGGTGAAACCCCCGTCTCTACTAAAAAAATACAAAAAATTAGCTGGGCATGGTGGCGCGTGCCTATAATCCCAGCTACTCAAGAGGCTGAGGCAGGAGAATTGCCTGAACCCAGGAGGCGGAGGTTGCGGTGAGCCGAGATCGCGCCATTGCACTCCAGCCTGGGTAACAAGAGTGAAACTCCGTCTCAAAAAAAAAAAAAAAAAAAAAAAAAAAGAAATCCTTATGGTCTCTGGAGTCAGGTTTTTAAAAAAATTTATATCCTGGTTTTATTTTTATATATGAAAACATGGTCTAATTACTACCCTCATTTCTTTCAGCTTTCAATTAGAAATGAGTCGTACTCCCATTTTAAGCATTCAAGTTCATAATCCATAATCCACAAGAATTGCCAAGTGGAATACCTGCCACATAGCTAAAATTCACTAGAATTCAGCTAAAAACCACTTTTTTCTTTAATTTTTTCTCTGAGATGGAGTCTCGCTCTGTCACCAGGCTAGAGTGCAATGGCATGATCTTGGCTCACTGCAACCTCCGCCACCTGGGTTCGAGCAATTCTCCTACTTCAGCTTCCCAAGTAGCGGTGACTACAGGTGTCCACCACCACACCAGGCTAATATTTGTACTTTTAGTAGAGACGGGGTTTCACCATGTTGGCCAGGAAGGTCTTGATCTCGATCTCATGATCTCCATGTCTTAGTCTCCCAAACTGTTGGGATTACAGGCATGAATCACCGTGCCTGGCCCGCTTTTTTTCTTTTAGAGCTTAAACTGTTAACAGTAGGAAATTGGAATGTAGTGTGTTAATTGCTTCCAAAAAAAAAGGAAAAACCCCTAACAACACTGAACTTGTATGGAGACTCTCTTCCCATTTTGGATATCAATTTATTCATTAAGAAATTAGAGCCGGGCGCGGTGGCTCAAGCCTGTAATCCCAGCACTTTGGGAGGCCGAGGCGGGTGGATCACGAGGTTGAGAGATCGAGACCAACCTGGTCAACATGGTGAAACCCCGTCTCTACTAAAAATACCAAAAACTAGCTGGGCGTGGTGGTGCGTGCCTGTAATCCCAGCTACTCAGGAGGCTGAGGCAGGAGAATTGCCTGAACGCAGGAGGCGGAGGTTGCGGTGAGCCAAGATCGCGCCATTGCACTCCAGCCTGGGTAACAAGCGAAACTCCGTCTCAAATAAAAAAAAAAAAGAAGAAATTAGTGGCTGGGCATGGTGACTCAGGCTTGTAATCCCAGCACTTTGGTAGGCCAAGGCAGGTGGATCATGAGGCCAGGAGTTTAAGACCAGCTTGGCTAACATGATGAAACCCCATTTCTACTAAAAATACAGAAACTAGCCAGGTATGGTAGCCATGATTATAATCCCAGCACTTTATGAGGCTGAGGTGAGCAGATCACTTGAGGTCAGGAGTTTGAGACCAGACTGGCCAACATGGTCAAACCCTGTCTCTACTAAAAATACAAAAATTGGCCGAAGACCAAGACAGGTAGGTCACTGGAGGTCAGGAGTTCGAGATCAGCCTGGCCAACATGGTGAAACTCCGTTTCTACTAAAAATACAAAAACTAGCTGGGTGTGTTGGTGCATATCTGTAGTCCCAGCTATTCAGAAGGCTGAGACAAGAGAATCGCTTGAACCCAGGAGGCAGAGGTTGCAGTGGGCCAAGTTTGCACCACCACATTCCAGCCTGGTGACAGAACAAGACTCTGTCTCAAAAGAAAAAAAAAAGCACAAAAGTTAGCCGGGTGTTGTGGCAGGCACCCGTAATCTCAGCTACTTGGGAGGATGAGGCAGGAGAATTGCTTGAACATGGGAGGCAGAGGTTTCAGTGAGCTGAGATCACGCCACTGCATTCGAGCCTGGACAACAGAGCGAGACTCCATCTCAAAAAAAAAAAAAAAAAAAAAGAAATGGTAAAGATGATTCTGGGAGTTTCTCTGGACTCAGGGTCCTCACGTATGGTTGTCCAGGTTGTTCACTGCTCAAGGCAAGCGGAAACTCAAGTTGAGCCCATGCTGTATCCTGGGCCATCTGCCCTTAATACTCTTTCTAGTCAGTCACCAACTTTTCCTAGTTTACACAAAATTGCCGTATAAGCTATGGTAGCTGTTGGTATGATGAAGGATTTTAGTGATGAAGAGGTATACCCGAGATACTGCAGGTTACATTTTGGGTGTCTCAGGACCTCACACAGTGCAGGAAGCGTATCATTCTGGGCACTGCCTCCAAGTCTTAGATGTGTTACAGTCTTGTGACCTTGAAGAGCTAGGCAGAGGTTCCGATAAGCATCAGCTGGGGAAATGTTTGTGATCCTAGGGAAAAAAAAAATCAAAAGTGAAATGTTGAGTGCCTGTATCTCTATTGTACTTAAATAGAAACGAACGGCTCAATGTATTTAAACTTCAGAAATTTTTTTTTCATGTTTAAATTTTTGTCCATCTTTACAGATGTTTTCTTCTTTTTTGAGATAGAGTCTCACTGTCACCCAGGCTGGAGTGCAGTGGCATGATCTCGACTCACTGCAACCTTCATCTCCCTGATTCAAGTGATTCTCCTGCCTCAGCCTCAAAAGTTCTTGGGATTACAGGTGCCTGCCACCTCGCCCAGCTAATTTTTATATTTTTAGTAGAGATGGGGTTTTGCCGTCTAGGCCAGGCTAGTCTTGAACTCCTGACCTCAAGTGATTCCCTTGGCCTCAACTTCCCAAAGTGTTGGAATTACAGGCGTGAGCCACCGCCCCCAGCCCCTTTTAATTTTTTTTTTTTTTTTGAGATGGAGTCTGTTTGCTTAGGCTGGAGTGCAGTGGCATGATCTCAGCTCACTGGAACCTCTGCCTCGTGGGTTCAAGCAATTCTCCTGCCTCAACCCTCAACCTCCCAAGTAGCTGGGATTACGGGCACCTGCCACCACAGCTGGCTAATTAAAAAAAAATATTTTTAGCCGGGTGCGGTGGCTCAAGCCTGTAATCCCAGCACTTTGGGAGGCTGAGGCGGGTGGATCACGAGGTCAAGAGATCGAGACCATCCTGGTCAACATGGTGAAACCCCGTCTCTACCAAAAATACAAAAATTAGCTGGGCATGGTGGCGCGTGCCTGTAATCCCAGCTACTCAGGAGGCTGAGGCAGGAGAATTGCCTGAACCCAGGAGGCGGAGGTTGCGGTGAGCCGAGATTGCGCCATTGCACTCCAGCCTGGGTAACAAGAGCGAAACTCCGTCTCAAAAAAAAAAAAAAAAATATATATATATATATATATATTTAGTAGAGATGGGGTTTCACCATGTTGGCCAGGCTGGTCTTGAACTCCTGATGTCAAGTTATCTGTTCGCCTCAGCCTCCCAAAGTGCTGAGATTACAGGCGTGAGCCACTGTGCCCTGCCCCTAAAGTTACTTTATATGATTATCTCACAAGACAAATTTAAGGGTGGTAGGACTCTCTCAATTCCTTGTGTCTTGAGTCTAGGACAGGAATTTGAATATTGCTCCAGTATGAAAAATGTAAAACTTTCACATCCTAAGAATTTTAGTTCATGAATGAGTTTCTACTTACACCACTCTCTGGAGATGACAGGCGTCAGAAGCTATTTGTTCACACAGGATCCTTAACAGTGAGGCACTAAGAAAGCTATTATTGATTTCTAGAATGATGAGATCCTTGTTTGAGCCAAATATGGAGCAAAGATCCGTCCAGAAAGGAAGCATGTGTTGATCATCCTGGGATCTACAGGGATAAGAAGAAGGGGGTTACACCAAACGTGCATCCATCACGGCCAAAGTATTTACGGTTTCTCTGGGCATACACCCCTAATAAATAAGTATAATTGAAAGCTGGACCATTTAATCATTTAGCACCACTATCAGACAACTCAACACCCAAGACACATCACAGGAGAAAGAAGTTTTACTGTTTTCTTTTCTTTTTCTTTTTCTTTTTTTTTTTTTTTGAGACATAGTTTCACTCTTGTTACCCAGGCTGAAGTGCAATGGTGCAATCTTGGCTCACTGAAACCTCCATCTCCCAGTTCAACTGACTCTCCTGCCTCAGCCTCCCAAGTAGCTGGGATTACAGGCACGTAACACCATGCCCGGCTAATTATCATTATTTTTTTTATTAGATGGAGTCTTACTCTGTCACCAGGCTGGAGTGCAATGGCGCAATCTCCATTCACCGCAGCCTCTGCCCCTGAGTTCAAGCAATTCTCCTGCCTCATCCTCCAGAGTAGCTGAGACTACAGGTGCCTGCCACCATGCCTGGTTAATTTTTGTATTTTTAGTAGAGACGGGGTTTTACCATGTTGGCCAGGATGGTCTTGATCTCTTGTCCTTGTGATCTGCCTGCCTTGGCCTCCCAAAGTGCTGGGATTACAGGCATGAGCCACCATGTCTGGCCCCGGCTAATTTTGTATTTTTAATAGAGGGGTTTCTCCATGTCGGTCAGGGTGGTCTCGAACTCTTGACCTCAGGTGATCTGTCCATTGTCTCGGCCTCCCAAAGTGCTGGGATTACAAGTGTGAGCCACTGTGCCTGGCTGAACTTACTCTTCTTACACAAAAACCCAATAGAGGATAAAAATAAGTTAAAATGCTAAACATATCATTGATAAAAGATTGAGAATACAGTGTGGGCATGGGGACTCACACCTGTAATCGTAGCACTTTGGGAGTCTAAGGCAGGTAGATCACCTGAGGTCAAGAGTTGGAGACCAGCCTGGCCAACATGGCAAAACCTTGTCTTTACTAAAAATATGAAAATTAGCTGGGCATGGTGGTGGGTGCCTGCAATCCCTGGTACTAGGGAGGCTGAGGCAGGACAATTATTAAACTGCAGGGAAGATGGAGGGGGTGGAGGGCTAGCTTGCAGTGAGCTGAGATTATGCCACTTCACTCCATCCTAGGCAAAAAAGTGAAACTCCGTCTCAAAAAGAAAAAGAGAAAAAAAATTAGCTAGGCGTGGTGGTATGCGCCTGTAGCCCCAGCTACTCGGGAGGGTGAGGCAGCAGAATTGCTTGAACCCAGAGGTGGAGGTTACAGTGAGTCGAGATTGTGCCATTGCACTCCAGCCTGGATGACAGAGCAAGACTCTGCTCCCATACCCACAACCCCAAAAGAATTCAAAACTTAAATTTTGTTAGCTCTAGAGCCCCTTGTTGTTTCAAGACTAGGTTAGCTGGGCATGGTGGCTCACTCCTGTAATCCCAGCACGTTGGGAGGCTGAGGTGGGTGGATCACGATGTCAAGAGAGCAAGACCATCCTGGACAACGTGGTGAAACCCTGTCTCTCTAAAAAAATAAAATTAGCTGGGCATGGTGGCACGTGCCTGTAGTCCCAGCTACTCAGGAGGCTGAGGCAGGAGAATCACTTGAACCCGGGAGGCGGAGGTTGTGGTGAGTCGAGATTGTGCCACTGCACTCCAGCCTGGCAACAGAGCAAGACTCTGTCTCAAAAAAAAGAGACTAAATGCCGGGCGCGGTGGCTCAAGCCTGTAATCCCAGCACTTTGGGAGGCCGAGGCGGGTGGATCACGAGGTCGAGAGATTGAGACCATCCTGGTCAACATGGTGAAACCCCATCTCTACTAAAAATACAAAAAATTAGCTGGGCATGGTGGCACGTGCCTGTAATCCCAGCTACTGAGGAGGCTGAGGCAGGAGAATTGCCTGAACCCAGGAGGCGGAGGTTGCGGTGAGCCGAGATCGCGCCATTGCACTCCAGTCTGGGTAACAAGAGCGAAACTCCGTCTCAAAAAAAAAAAAAAAAAAAAAAAAAGAAAAAAGAGACTAAGTTAAAACCTCAGGTTTTAGGAGATCATCCTCTAAGTGCAAACTTTAATGCCCTTCCATCAGTGGTGCCAAAAAAAGTGGACAGTCACAGTCACATTATAGAGTTCCTGAAGTTTACACAATGACACACAGAAGCAGAGAAACAGGTTGAGCTATTATCAACAATTGCTCACCTAAAGAGGAGTTAGGTCTCGAAACAAGGTCTGACTCCAAAGCTTCTATTCCTGTTCACAACACTGTACCTTTCACCTTGAATGTGAAGCAGGAAGAAAGTCCAGCAAGAGGCCGGGTGCTGCCTCACTCCTGTAATCCCAGCACTTTGGGAGGCCAAGGTGGGTAGATCATTTGAGGCCAGGAGTTCCAGACCAGCCTGGCCAACATAGTTAAACTCCATCTCTACTAAAAATATAGTTAGCTAAGCATGGTGGTGCACACCTGTAGTGCCAGCTACTGGGGAGGCTGAGGTAGGAGAATCGCTTGAACCTGGGAGGTGAAGTTGCAGTGAACCAAGACTATATCACTGCACTCCAGCCTGGATGACAGAGCAAGACTCTGCCTCAAAAAAAAAAGAAGTGTATATTGGCACCAAGCATGGCAGTACACACCTCTAGTCTCAGCTACTCTGGAGGCTAAGGCGGAAGGATTGCTTGAGCCCAAGAGTTTAAGTCCAGCCTTAAACTTTAAAAAAAAAAAAAAAAAGGCCGGGCGCGATGGCTTGCACCTATAATCATGGCAATTTGAGAGGCTGAAGCAGGTGGATTATTTGAGGTCCAGAGTTCAAGAGTGGCTTGGGCAACGTGGTGAGACCCCATCTCTTCTAAAAATATAAAAATTAGCCAGGCATGCTGGTGCATGCTGCAATTCTAGCTACTCAGTAGGCTGAGGTAGGAGGATTGCTTGAACTTGGGAGATGGAGGTTGCAGTGAGCTGAGATTGCACCACTGCACTCCAACTCCAGCCTGGGCAACAGAGCAAGAATCCATCTCAAAACAACAATGAAAAAGGAAGTCCAACGAGAGGGAATTCCTGACTTTAAGCCACAGTCATAGGAAGCTCTGGCCTCTTCCTAAGGGACCCTGGGATGAGGCTGAAGAAGGAATGACCAGTAGAGTGAAACGGTTCTTACCTCTCAACCTCAGCATCTGATTCAGAGGCAGTGACATTCTCTGGGAGCTTTGCCTTTATCAGCTGCAGTGACATTTTCTCCAAGTTTCGACAATGCTTGATGCAGAATGAAGAGGGCACAACGTCTGCAGCACTTAAGTGCAGGGATATTTCTTTCAATGGGGCCATCGCCCCCTTCACCAGCTCCTCCTCCTGAGACTCGTACAGACAGTGTAAGACCTCCTTCAGGTCCGTCAAGGTTGAGTATCTGTCCTCGTCACAAATGATGTCGCAGCACAGTAACTCCCGTTTGATCTCCCGTGACATCACGCAGCCAAAAGTGGTCTCCAACTCTGTGGCTCTCTTCTCGTTGGCAAGGCCGAATAAGAAGCGTCCTGCTTGGATCAGGTCGGGGTTCTGGACTCTTTCTTCACTGGAAAGCAGCTTCTGCACATCCCCAATGTCCCAGGCATGGCGGTCCCTGTCCTCCTCCTCCTCCTCCAGGGCGTAGAACAGCGCAGTGAAAAACTGCTGGAGGCTGAGGTGGAGGAAGGAGTAGTAGTCTTTGGAGTCTCTATCCTGGCGGAGGATGCCTCTGTCCAGGAACGGGCGGAGGTCGGACTCCTGCACCCCGAAGCTCTCCAGGTCCTCTGTGTGGAACACAGACATCTGTGCCCACAGGCCCTGCGCAGCCAGGGTGCTCAGTGCCCGCAGCGTGTCCCCGAGCTGTGCACCCTTCGGGAAGCGGCTGCAGAGAAAGTGCAGGAACAGCCCCGTGCGGGTGTGGCAGGTGGGGGCCGGATCCTCCCCGTTCTCCATCTGCAGCTTCAGACTGGTGCACACCATCCAGCACACCGTGGGCGCCGAGCCCAGCTGGAACAGGGCTGCGTTGCTTCTCATCAGCTCAAAGGCACGCACGGCTTGGTCTTCGTCTCCAAAGTGTCTCAGGAAATAGGCCCTCCTGTCCTTCTCCAGGAACCCCTCCACCCTTATGAAGATGGGCTGCTCCATCAGGGGCCGGAGGTCCCTCAGGGCCCAGGACCGCGTGGTGACCAGCAGGGCGGCCTTGGGTAACATCTTCCTCTTCAGCAAACTCCCCAGGAGGACCGGCACCGGCTTCGGCTTCAGCCAGTCCCCGCAGATGTCGTGGATCAGCGCCCCGGGGGGGGCTCCCAGCTCATCAAGGCCATCCACCACAAACAGGATTTTCTGTGCTTCGGCTAGGATGTTTGGAATGTCATCCTGCAATTCCGGCCAGTCCCTGAAGACCAGCTCTGCAAAACTGCACAGGCCCAGGCGGCTGAGCTTTTTGCAGCTGAGGTAGAAAGCGTATTTGAATTTGTGGCTGAGGTTGTCCTCGGTCCAGTCCAACATTAATTTCTTGGCCAGCGTGGTTTTTCCAAGGCCGGCAGGGCCGTGCAGCACCACAGTGTGTGGGAAGGGCCCGGGAAGCATCCTGGGGTTGCTGAACGGGATCAGCGTGGTGTATCTCTGAGCCACAGCTTGGACCTCTTTGCTGTCTCCGGGCCAGGCTTCCCACATTTGCTTCAACTTCATCTTCAGTATACTCCTGTGCCTATCCTCTTTCCCTTCGGTGGGGAAACACAGCAAAAAACAAAACATGTTTCTGTTACACAGAGTTAAAAGAAGACTTGAGGTGGCGGCTCACGCCTGCAATCCCAGCACTTTGGGAGGCCGAGGCGGGCAGATCACGGGTCACGAGTTCAAGACCAGCCTGGCCAACATGACAAAACCCCATCTCTACTAAAAATACAAAAACTAGCTGGGCGTGGTAGTGTGCACCTGTAATCCCAGCTTCCTGGGAGGCTGAAGCAGAGAATTCCTTGAACCCAGGAGGTGGAGGTTGCAGTGAGCCGAGATCATGCCACTGCACTTCAGCCTGGGTGACAGAGCGAGACTCCATCTCAAAAATAAAAAAGTAAGAAGGCTGGGCGTGATGGCTCACGCCTGTAATCCCAGCACTTTGGGAGGCCGAGGCGGGTGGATCACGAGGTCAAGAGATCGAGACCATCCTGGTCAACATGGTGAAACCCATCTCTACTAAAAATACAAAACATTAGCTGGGCATGGTGGTGCGTGCCTGTAATCCCAGCTACTCAGGAGGCTGAGGCAGGAGAATTGCCTGAACCCAGGAGGCGGAGGTTGCGGTGAGCTGAGATTGCACCACTGCACTCCAGCCTGGATAACAAGAGCGAAACTCTGTCTCAAAAAAAAAAAGTAAATAAATAAATAAATAAAAAGAGGACTTGAAGTTTATAAAGAGAAACCTGACCCCAAGCTGCTCACCCCAGGAAGACAGGATACAGACCTGGCATTTCTTTTTTCAAGACTTTAGCTTCTCTCAGGCCGCTGACATCTTCCTCTGTTTCTGTAAACGCTACAAAGTACAACAAACTCATGTGAGCTTGACACAAAAACAGGTGAATTTCCTGTGGAGTCCCAAACAGGGAAAAGGAGTCAGGTGACTGGACCCAGAGGGTAACAGATAAAGCAAATAAGCTATAGATATGTCTTCCGGCTTGGTGCGGTGGCTCATGCCTGTAATCCCAGCACTTTGGGAGACTGAGGTGGGCAGATCACTTGAGTTCAGGAGTTTGAGACCAGCCTGGCCAATGTGGAGAAACTCTGTCTCTACTAAAAATACAAAAATTAGCCGGGCGCGGTGGCTCAAGCCTGTAATCCCAGCACTTTGGGAGGCCGAGGCGGGTGGATCACGAGGTCAAGAGATCGAGACCATCCTGGTCAACACGGTGAAACCCCGTCTCTACTAAAAATACAAAAAATTAGCTGGGCATGGTGGCGCGTGCCTATAATCCCAGCTACTCAGGAGGCTGAGGCAGGAGAATTGCCTGAACTCAGGAGGTGGAGGTTGCGGTGAGCCGAGATCGCGCCATTGCACTCCAGCCTGGGTAACAAGAGCGAAACTCCGTCTCAAAAAAAAAAAGAAAAAAAAAATACAAAAATTAGCCAGGTGTGGTGGTGTGTCTGTAAAAAAAATGAAAAACAAACAAAAACCTCTCTGTAACATGTTCCGAACTTTGTACAAATTGAGCTCCAATTCTCTGCAACGTTCATTCTTCCCTCTACTCTTACGGAAGGGAGGTTGGCATTCTCTAGCAGACAGTGGGCAAATTAAAAATAGTGGAGAAAATGAGTTTGGGAAGAGATGGGGTTCTCCAGAGGAACAGGAGAAAGCAGCAAGAGGGGCCAGCTTCCCTCAGCAGACTCCGACGCTGGATGTCCTAACACCCACCTTGTGCTTCTGCTTCGAAACGCACCAGCATTTCATCCAGGTCTACAGGCTTTGGCTCTCCTTTCCGTATTGTCTCTGCAAAAAAACAGAGGGGACCCCAGGGGCCCGTGGCTGTGCTGGCAGTGGGACTCCACGTTGGCTCAAGTGTAACCACTGAGTCTCAACAGTTACGCCTAGATTAGCTAATTTGCTAGATTAGGACAGAGGATGTTGACAAGGTACCGGATATAAAAATGGAAGTATGTGGCTGGGCCGGGCACAGTGACTCATGCCTGTAATCCCAGCACTTTGGGAGGCCAAGGCAGGTGGATCACGAGATCAGGAGTTCGAGACCAGCCCGGCCAACATGGAGAAACCTTGTCTCTACTGAAAATACAAAAATTAGCTGGGTGTGGGGGTGGGCACCTGTAATCCCAGCTATGAGGGAGGTTGTGCAGGAGAATCACTGGACCCAGGGAGGCAGAGGTTGCAGTGAACCAAGATCACGCCACGGCACTTCAGCCTGGGTGACAGAACAAGACTCTGTCTCAAAAGAAAGAAAGAAAAAGAAAGAACGTTAGGCCATGATCCCCCAGGTTTCCATGCCTTTCTGGTGAGTTCAGAACACATGGTGTGATAAACACACACACGGGACTCACGCATAAGGTCGCTGGAAGGGCTTTGAGGATTAACTCCCTACTTTCTTTTCTTCTCTTTTTAAAATTCCCTAGTTTTTTTCTTCTTTTCTTGAGGTGGAGTTTCCCTCTTGTTACCCAGGCTGGGGTGCAATGGTGCAATCTCAGCTCAAAGCAACCTCTGTCTCCCAGCTTCAAGCAATTCTCCCGCCTCAGCCTCCCGAGTAGCTGGGATTACAGGCATGTGCCACCATGCCTGGCTAATTTTGTATTTTTAGTAGAGAAGGAGTTTTATCCATGTTGGTCAGGCTGGTCTTAAACTCCTGACCTCAGGTGATTTGCCCACCTCGGCCTCCCAAAATGCTGGGATTACAGGTGTGAGTCACTACCGGTCTAACTCCCTAGTTTCTGATGAGGTAGGTAAAATTAAAATGGGCCAGGTGCGGTGGCTCCTGCCTGTAATCCCAGCACTTTGGGAGGCTGAGGTTAGCAGATCATGAGGTCAAGAGTTCAAGACCAGCCTGCCCAACATGGTAAAACCCCATCTCTACTAAAAATACAACGATTAGCTAGACGTGGTGGTAGGTGCCTGTAATCCCAGCCACTCGGGAGGCTGAGGCAGAAGAAACTTGAACCCAGGAGGCAGAGGCCACAGTGAGATTGCACCAATGCACTCCAGCCTGGGCAACAGAGCAAGACCCTGTCTCAAAAAGGGTCTTCATGGCCAGGTGTGGTGGATCATGTCTGCAATTCCAGCACTTTGGGAGGTCAAGGTGGGAGGATCGCTTGAGACCAGGAGTTTGACACCGTAAAGGCAACATGGTGAAACTGTCTCTACCAAAAATACAAATATTAGTCACGTATGGCAGTACTCAGTTCTGTAGTCCCAGCTACTCAGGAGGCTGAGGTAAGAGGATCACTGGAGCCTGGAAGGTTGAGGCTGTAATGAACTATGATCATGACACCACCATCAAGCCAGGGCAACAGAGCAAGACTCTGTCTCAAAAACAAACAAAAAAAATCTTCAGGATATGAGTAGTTGGTAAGGGCCAGGTGTCATGGCTCACACCCAGTCCCCAGCACTTCGGGAGGCTGAGGCAGGAGGGCTGACTGAGCTCATAAATTCCAGACTGGCCTGGGCAATATAGCAAGACCCTATCTCCACAAAAAGTGAAAAAAAAATTAGCCAGGTGTAGTGGCAAGTGCCTGTGGTTCCAGCTACTCAGGAGGCTGAGGCAGGAGCCTGGGAGGTCAAGGCTGCAGTGAGCCATGATTGCACCACTGCACTCCAGCGTAAGTGACACAGTGAAACCCTGTTTTAAAAAAAAAAAAAAAAAAAAGGCTGGGTGCAGTGGCTCATGCCTGTAATCCCAGCACTTTGGGAGGCTGAGGTGGACGGATCACAAGGTCAGGAGATCAAGACCATCCTGGCCAACATAGTGAAACCCCATCTCTTAAAAAAAAAAAAAAAAAAAAAGCCAGGCTTGCTGGCTGATGCCTGTAATCCCAGCATTTTGGGAGACTGAGGAGGGCAGATTACTTGAGTTCAGGAGTTTGAGACCAGCCTGGACAACATGGTAAAACCTTCTCTACTAAAACTACAAAAAATTAACCAGGCATGATGGTAGGTGCCTGTAATCCGAGTTACTCAGGAGGTTGAGGCAGGATAATTGCTTGAACCCATGAGGCAGCAGTTACAGTGAACCACGATCATGCCACTGCACTCCAGCCTAGTCAACAGAGCAAGACTCCATCTCAAAAAAGAAAAAGTCTCTAGATTATCCATACTGAAAGGCCAAGCTTATCCTTCCCCACTGGGTATATATGTACCAGTTTCCAACAAATACTATCGTGTTTCAGCTTCCCAGGTCTTACTGCTACACGCCTGCCCAACCAGCTCCTCCCTGGGAGCAGGGATGAGAACTCTGGGATTTCTTTACATTCTTTTTTTTTTTTTTTTTTTTGAGACGGAGTTTCGCTCTTGTTACCCAGGCTGGAGTGCAGTGGGGTGATCTCGGCTCACCGCAACCTCCGCCTCCTGGGTTCAGGCAATTCTCCTGCCTCAGCCTCCTCAGTAGCTGGGATTACAGGCACGAGCCACCATGCCCAGCTAATTTTTTGTATTTTTAGTAGAGACGGGGTTTCACCGCGTTGACCAGGATGGTCTCGATCTCTTGACCTCGTGATCCACCCGCCTCGGCCTCCCAAAGTGCTGGGATTACAGGCTTGAGCCACCGCGCCTGGCGGATTTCTTTACATTCTTAGTATTCAGCAGAGTATTTTTGTTTGTTTGTTTCTTTGTTTTTTTTGTTTTGTTTTGTTTTGTTTTTTTTTGTTTGTTTGTTTTTTTTGAGATGGAGTCTTGCTCTGTTGCCCAGGCTAGAGTGCAGTGACATGATCTGGGCTCACTGCAGCCTCTGCCTCCCAGGTTCAAGTGATTCTCCTTTGTGGGTTCCCCCAGTAGCTGGGATTACAGGCATGTGCCACCATGCCTGGCTAATTTTGTATTTTTCTTTTCTTTTTTTTTTTTTTTTTTTGAGACGGAGTGTCGCTCTTGTTACCCAGGCTGGAGTGCAATGGCGTGATCTCGGCTCACCGCAACCTCCGCCTCCTGGGTTCAGGCAATTCTCCTGCCTCAGCCTCCTGAGTAGCTGGGATTACAGGCACACACTACCATGCCCAGCTAATTTTTTGTATTTTTAGTAGAGACGGATTTCACCGCGTTGACCAGGATGGTCTCGATCTCTTGACCTCGTGATCCACCCGCCTCGGCCTCCCGAAGTGCTGGGATTCCAGGCTTGAGCCACCGCGCCCAGCTTTTGTATTTTTCTTTGAGATGGAGTCTCGCTCTGTTGCCCAGGCTGGAGTCCGGTGGCATGATCTTGGCTCACTGCAAACTCTGTCTTCCGGGTTCAAGCAGTTCTCCTGCTTCAGCCTCCTGAGTAGCTGAGATTACACGCACCTGCCACCATGCCCACCTAATTTTAGTATTTTTAGTAGAGATGGTGTTTCACCATTTTGGTCAGGCTGGTCCTGAACTCTTGACCTTGTGATCCGCCCCCCCTTGGCCTCCCAAAGTGCTGGGACTACAGGCATGAGTCACCGTGCCTGGCCTGAATTTTGTATTTTTAGTAGAGACAGGGTTTTGTCATGTTGGCCAGGGTGGTCTCAAACTCCTGACCTAAGGTGAACCACCCGCCTCGGCCTCCCAAAGTGCTGGGATTACAGGCATGAGCCACCACACTCGGCCACAGTGTCTTTCTTAAAACACAGCCTGGAGTCCCCAAACCTCACATGAAGTATAAAAGTTGTCAATGAGGTAACTTACCTAACGATAGAGGCTTGTTTTTATTAAATGATCGCAAAGCTGCTTCTGAAAAAGAAAAAGGGGGAGAAATTTACATTTTTAACAGAAACGCAAGATTTTATTGTCTTCATAATGAAAGAAAAGATGACACTCGGAACTGGAGAACTGGATTACTTGGCCCTTTCTCTTCTTACCTGCTCCCAGTTGAAAATGCATTTTTTTTTTTTTTTTGATTTTTTGAGACAGAGTCTCACTCTGTCACCCAGGCTGGAGTGCACTGGCGCGATCTCGGCTCACCGCAACCTCCGCCTCCTGGGTTCAAGCGATTCTCCTGCCTCAGCCGCCTGAGTAGCTGGGATTACAGGCGCGCGCCACCACGCCCAACTAATTTTTGTATTTTTAGTAGAGACCGGGTTTCAACATCTTGGCCAGGCTGGTCTCGAACTCCTGACCTTGTGATCCACCCCCCTCAGCCTCCCAAAGTGCTGGGATTACAGGCGTGAGCCACTGCGCCCAGCCTCTTGCATCTTTTAGTAGCCAGCACTCTCTTAGATCTGCAGTGGGGCTCCATGCAGCCAAGCCTTAGTGCAATCTTTGTATTTTTAGCCTGTTTTTTGGAAAATAGGCTTCGTCTGCCCACCATGGCCACTCTGGTACCTGTCGTCACGCCGCTTCCCCTGGGTATAGAGAATCACCGCTCTTCTTGTACTGTGTCACTTTGTGGGGTTGGTGCTTGCTACACTTCTTACAGAAAGTCTGGGGGGTTTTAGGAACATTCACTACGTTTGCATGAGCGTTATCAGCACGGAAAGAAAACCTGTATCTTTTTAAGAGCCCAGCCCGTCGTAAGTGTACAACTCTCTGGGTTTCCTCCTGCTGTTTTCCAATTTGTGATCTCTGGAGCCCAGCTAGAGTTAAAAACCCTAATCTGTCCATTAAAGACAGGAAACATTATGCTAAGAAGTGATCTCTAGCTGGAATAAAAACGGCAATGTAGCCGGGCGCGGTGGCTCACGCCTGTAATCCCAGCACTTTGGGAGGCCGAGGCAGGTGGATCACGAGGTCAAGAGATCGAGACCATCCTGGTCAACATGGTGAAACCCCGTCTCTACTAAAAATACAAAACATTAGCTGGGCATGGTGGTGCGTGCCTGTAATCCCAGCTACTCAGGAGGCTGAGGCAGGAGAATTTCCTGAACCCAGGAGGTGGAGGTTGCGGTGAGCTGAGATCACGCCATTGCACTCCAGCCTGGGTAACAAGAGCGAAACTTCATCTCAAAACAAACAAACAAACAAACAACAAAACAGCACGGCCATATTTTTTTTTTTTTTTGAGATGGAGTCTTGCTCTGTCACTCAGGCTGGTGTGCAGATACATGATCTCAGCTCACTGCAGCCTCCGCCTCCCAGGTTCAAGCGATTCTCCTGCCTCAGCCTCTCAAGTAGCTGGCATTACAGGTGCCCACCACCATGCCTGGCTAATTTTTTGTATTTTTAGTAGAGATGGGGTTTCACTGTGTTAGCCAGGATGGTCTTGATTTCCAGACCTCATGATCCACCCACCTAGGTCTCCCAAAGTGTTGGGATTACAGGCGTGAGCCACTGCACCTGGCCCCTAAAACTGGCAATTTTTAAAGAAAAATATGGCTGGGTGCAGTGGCTTACACCTTCCTGGGTTAGGAGATTGTTGGGACCCCAAGCCTCAAAAGGGAAACATGGTATCACTTACACCATGAAATACTCTTCAACCTTAAGGAAATCCTATCTAAAAATACAAAAATTAGGGCTGGGTAAGGTAGCTCATGCCTGTAATCCCAGTACTTTGGGAGGCCAAGGTAGGCGGATCATGAGGTCAGGAGACTGAGATCATCCTGGGTAACATGGTGAAACCCCATCTCTGCTAAAAATTCAAAAAATTAGCCAGGCATGTTGGCATGTGCCTGTAATCCCATCAACTCGGGAGGCTGAGGCAGGAAAACTGCTTGAACCTGGGAATCAGAGGTTGCAGTGAGCCGATATTGTGCCACTGCACTCCAGCAAGGCTCTGTCTCAAAACAAAAAACAAAAACAACCGCAACCCACCACCTCCCCACCGTGCAAAAAAAAAATTAGCAGGCTCTGATAGCGGGTGCCTGTAATCCCAGCTACTTAGGAGGCTGAGGCAGGAGAATCGCTTGAACTCAGGAATCAGAGGTTGCAGTGAGAAGAGATTGCACCACTGCACTCAGTGTGGGCAACAGAGAGAGGCTCCGTGTCAAAAAATAAGTAATTTCGGGGTGTAGTGACAAATCTGTGAACCCAGCTACTTGGGAGGCTGAGGTGGAAGGATGGCTTGAACCTGAGGGACAGACGTTGCAGTGGGCCGAGATCGCACCACTGTACTCCAGCCTAGGTGACAGAGTGAGATCCTCTTTCAAAAAAGTTAAATAAGGCCGGGCGCGGTGGCTCACGCCTATAATCCCAGCACTTGGGAGGCCGAGGCGGGTGGATCACGAGGTCAAGAGATCGAGACCATCCTGGTCAACACGGTAAAACCCCATCTCTACTAAAAATACAAAAATTAGCTGGGCGTGGTGGCGCGTGCCTGTAATCCCAGCTACTCAGGAGGCTGAGGCAGGAGAATTGCTTGAACCCAGGAGGCGGAGGTTGCGGTGAGCCGAGATCGCGCCATTGCACTCCAGCCTGGGTAACGAGAGCGAAACTCCGTCTCAAAAAAAAAAAAAAAAAAAAGTTAAATAACCATAGTTCATGTGCATTATTTTATTGTATTATTTTTGTTTTTTCCCCCAATATTTTTTATCTGGGATTAAATCCACGGATATGTCAGGCCAACTGTACAATACCTGAAAGGGATAGAAATAGGTAGAAAAGGGCCGGGCGCGGTGGCTCACGCCTGTAATCCTAGCACTTTGGGAGGCCGAGGTGGGTGGATCATCTCAGGTCAGGAGTTCAAGACCAGCCTGGCCATCAGGGTGAAATGGAAGGAAGGAAGAAAGGAAGGAAGGAAGGAAAGGAAGAAAGGAAGGAAGGAAGGAAGGGGAGAGAGAGAGAGAGAGAGAGAGAGAGAGAGAGAGGGAGGAAGAGAAGAGACGGGACGGGATGGGACGGGACGGGACGGGACGTGGAGGCTCAAGCCTGTAATCCCAGCACTTTGGGAGGCCGAGGCAGGTGGATCACTTGAGGTCAGGAATTTGAGACCAGCCTGGCCAACATCGTGAAACACCGTCTCAACTAAAAATACAAAAAATAAAAAATTAGCCAGGCGTGGTACACAGGCCTGTAATCCCAGCTACTTGGGAGGGGGAGACAGGAGAATTGCTTGAACCCAGGGGCAGAGGTCGCAGTGAGCCCAGATTGTGCCACCGCACTCCAGCCTGGGCCACAGAGCGAGACTCCGTCTCACAACAAAACAAAAAAAATAGGTAGATAATAAGGACCAGGACAGGCACCAGAGTTTATGAAGATCCGGCATCTGTGTTCGGGACAGGCAGGCTCTCTCCAAGCCTCAATGCCATTTCTGAGTTTCTGACGTCCTGGGAGGACTTCTGCTTTCCCCTAAGACACAGTGTGGACCGAGTTCCGCTCACCTCTGAGTTCCTCCTTCACTCTCTCACACAGATCCGCTCGATGCATCTTTTCAAGGACCTGGAGGGTGGCCATCTCCAACCAGTAGCTGGGGCAATGGCTGCTGAGGATTTCCGCCAGTTGCTTCCCATCAGCCTCATCCACCTCTGTCTGGGGGATCTTCTGCAGCCCATTTCCCAGGGTGATGGTCCTGATCAGAGACTTGAACTGGCTCAGCTCATCCTGGCTGAGCTCCTCCAGAAGGGCCTGCAGGTTGAAGTCCAGCCGCACAGAAGACGCCATCTCGTCCCACGTGGGAGCTCCCATGAGGATGGACAGAGACGGCGAGTCAGCACCCCTGCCTCACAGCCAGCCCGCTCTGCGCCATGAACAAGCATACACTCACCGTCTACCCTGCTTCTTCAGGAGCAAATTCCCAGCCTGCGCAACATAGTGAGACCCCCATCTCCACAAAAAATAAGTTCGTGGTGGGGGAGGTGGTGTGCAGCTGTCGTCTCAGCTACTCAGGAGGCTGAGGTGGGAAGCTTGCTGGAACCTGGGAGGTTAAAACTGCAGTGAGCCTTGACTGTGCCACTGCACTCCCATCTGGGCAACAGAGACCTCATCCCTTTTTAATTTATTTTATTTTTGAGACAGAGTCTCACTTTGTCCCCCAGGCTGGACTGCAATGGCACGATCTTGGCTCACTGCAACCTCCGCCTCCCGGGTTCAAGCCATTCTCCTGCCTCAGCCTCCTCAGTAGATGAGATTACACGTGCATGCCCACCACGCCCAGCTCCTCATTTTATTTTATTATTTATTTATTTTGAGATGGAGTTTTGCTCTCATTGCCCAGGCTGGAGTGCAATGGCACCATCTTAGCTCACCGCAACCTCTGCGTCCCAAGTTCAAGGGATTCTCCCACCTCTGCCTCCCGAGTAGCTGGGATTACAGGCATGCGTCACCACACCTGGATAATTTTTTGTATTTTTAGGGGAGACAAGGTTTCTCCATGTTGGTCAGATTGGTCTTGAACTCCTGACCTCAGGTGATCCACCCACTTCGGGCTTCCAGAGTGCTATGATTACAGGAGTCAGCCACCATGCCCGGCCACTTAATCTTGTAGTTTTAGTAGAGATGGGGTTTCACCAAGTTGGCCAGGTTGGTCTTGAACTCCTGATCTGAAGTTATCTGCCCGCCTTGGCATCACAAACTGCTAGGATTACAGGCATGCGTTACTGTGCCTAGCCTTTATAAATTAACAGATAACATAATTTCAATAAAAAAAAAGGACTTGCACAGTGAGTACACATGGCAGTGGTACTGGACAAAGAGTTAACACCTGGTTCTTTATATAGATCGCATTACAAATAAGTTTTTGTTTTTTTTTTTTTTTTTTTTGAGACGGAGTTTCGCTCTTGTTACCCAGGCTGGAGTGCAACGGCGTGATCTCGGCTCACTGCAACCTCCGCCTCCTGGGTTCAGGCAATTCTCCTGCCTCAGCCTCCTGAGTAGCTGGGATTACAGGCACGCGCCACCATGCCCAGCTGGTTTTTTGTATTTTTAGTAGAGACGGGGTTTCACCATGTTGACCACGATGGTCTTGATCTCTTGACCTCGTGATCCACCCGCCCTGGCCTCCCAAAGTGTTGGGATTACAGGCTTGAGCCACTGCGCCTGGCTGTTTTTTTTTTTTTTTTTTTTTTTTTTTAAAGACAGTCTCACTGTCACTCAGGCTGGGGTGCAGTTGCACAATGTCGGCTCACTGCAGCCTCTGCTTCCCGGGTTCAAGCGATTCTCTTGCCTCAGCTTCTTGAGTAGCTAGGATTCCAGGTGTCAGCCACAATGCTTGGCTGATTTCTGTATTTTTAGTAGAGATAGGTTTTTTTTTAATATTGGCCAGGCTGATCTCAAACCCCTGACCTCAAGTGATCTGCCCACCTCAGCCCACGTAAGGCATTGAGATCACAGTTGTGAGCCACCGTGCCTGGCCAATGCTGTTTATTAGCCACTCTTTGTGGCTCTGACCACTCCCCAGGTGGGTTGGATTCACACAGAATAAGTGGAAAACAAGGAGCTAGTGAATGGAGTTTGCTGAAATGGAAGTAAAATGGCAAGTTTATAAGAGGCTTGAGGCCAGGTGAGGTGGCTCATACCTGTAATCCCAGCGCTTTGGGTGGCCGAAGCAGACAGATCACTTGGGGTCAGGAGTTCAAGACCAGCCTGACCAACATGGTGAAACCCCATCTCTATTTTAAAAATATACAAAACATGGCCAAGCGCAGTGGTGTGCGCCTGTAGTCACAGCTACTTGGGAGCCTGAAGTAGGAGAATCACTTGAACTCTAGGAGGGAGGGGTTGCAGTGAGACGTGATTGTGCCATTGCACTCCAGCCTGGGCGACAGAGCTAGACTCCATCTCAAAATAAAAAGGAAACAAAAATTGGCTTGAAGGTGAATGAGCGGTGGAGCCTGGTCTCAGGACACAGGTGTGTGGCTTTTACTTGACCGAAGCTGGCCAGGTGCCGTGGGTCACACCTGTAACCCCAACACTTTGGGAAGCCAAGGTGGGAGGACTGTTTGGGCCAAGGAGTTTGAGACCAGCCTGCAGAACATGGCAAAACCCTCTCTCTACAAAAAAATACAAAGAAAATGTGCTGGGCACGGTGGCATGCACTTGTAGTCCTAGCTACTAAGGAGGCTGAGCCCGGGAAGTTAAGGTTGCAGTGAGCCGTGATCGCACCACTGCACTCCAGCTTGGTAAAAACAAATAACAGAAAAAAAAAAAAAAAAAACAAAACACTGGGTGCAGTGGCTCACGCTTGTAATCCCAGCACTTTGGGAAGCTGTGGTGGGGTATCACCCCAGTCCAGAAGTTCTAGACCAGCCTGTTAACGTAACAAAACCCTGTCTCTATTTTAAAAACAGCTGCAGGGCTGGGCATGGTGGTTCACGCCTGTAATCCCAGCACTTTGGGAGGCCGAGGTGGAAGTATCATCTGAGGCCAGGAGTTTGATACTAGCCTGGCCAGCATGGTGAAACCCCACGTCTACTAAAAATATGAAAATTAGCCGGGCATGGAGGCGGGCACCTGTAATCCCAGCTACTTGGGAGGCTGAGGCAGGACAATCGCTTGAACCCGCGGGGCGGAGGTTGCAGTGAGCCAAGACTGTGCCACTGCACTCCAGCCGGGGCAACAGAGCGAAACGCTGTCTCAAAAAAATAAAAAAATAGAAGTAGCAACAAAAACTTTACAAAGCGGGTACAACACCTCTGTCTCTCTTTTTTTATAGCCAGTGCTCAGTGGCTCCTCCCTGTAATCCCAGCACTTTGGGAGGCTGAGGAGGGCAGATCACGTGAGGTCAGGAGTTCGAGACCAGCCTCCTGATGACAGGAGGGATTACAGGTACCTGCCACCAGGTCTGGCTAGGAATAAAACCACTTTATGTGATAGCTGTCAATGACGTGAGCATGGCAGCTGGCACAGGTACCTGCATAAGCCTCAGGTCTGGAAGCTGAACTAGAATGATGCTAAGAGGTTCCATCACCTCAATGAATGAAAGACAATAGCTTCTGTTAAGAGAGGGACTCAGTCAACACCAAACCTTGGCACTGCCCAGGACTCCACACAGCAACCACAGCTTCTGACCTGTTACAATTCTTCTGTTTTTTTTTTTGAGTTCTCTATAGCTCTCTGTATACCCTAAATCTCCCAGGAGAACAGAAATGGAAGCACACAAACCCTATCCTGTTATGAGCCAATGTAAACTAGAGTCTCCAGATCTAAGCATCTGCTACTCTTTCCCAAGTCAGAGCCACTGAGTTTTTTTTTTTTTTTTAAGACTGAGTTTCGCTCTGTCACCCAGGCTGGAATGCGATGGCGCCATCTTGGCTCACTGCTTGAACTCCTGGGTTCAAGCAATTTTCCTGCCTCAGCCTCCCGAGTAGCTGGGATTACAGGAATGTGCCACCACACCCGGCTAATTTTCTATTTTTAGTAGAGATGGGGTTTTTCCATGTTGGTCAGGCTGGTCTTGAACTCCTGACTTCAGGTGATCTGCCCACCTCAGCCTCCCAAAGTGCTGAAATGTCCCAGCTACTCAGGAGGCTGAGGAAGAACTGCTTGAACCCGTGAGATGGACGTTGCAGTGGGCCAAGATCGTACCACTGCACTCCAGCATGGGTGACAGAGCAAGATTCCATTTCAAAATAAAATAAAAATTGCTAGGAGTGACAGGTGTGAGCCACCTTGCCCAAACCACTGAACTTCTAACAGATGAAAAGGTTTAGCCTGGGCAAGGTGGCTCCTCCCTGTAATCCCAGCACTTTGGGAGGCTGAGGCAGGCGGATCACCTGAGGTCAAGAGTTCGAGAACAGCCTGACCAACATGGAAAAACCCCATCTCTACTAAAAATACAAAATTAGCCGGCGTGGTGGTGCATGCCTGTAGTTCCAGCTACTCAGGAGGGTGAAGCAGGAGAATCCCTTGAACCTAAAATGCGGAGGTTGCAGTGAGCTGAAATCATACCATTGCATTCCAGCCTGGGTGACAAGAGCAAAACTGTCTCAAAAATAAATAAATAAATAAATAAATAAATAATAAAAGAAACCAGCTTGGGTAACATACTAAGACCCTACATATAGTGAGTCTCTAGAAATAAGTAATTTTATTACTTTCAGCCGGAACAGACGTGGTAGCACACTCCCATAGTCCCAGATACTGCAGATGTTGAGGTGGGAGGATTGCTTGATTGAGCCTGGGAGGTCCGGGCTGCAGTGAGCCAAAATCGTGCCGCAGCACTCCAGCCTGGGCAACAGAGTAAAACCCTCAGAAAAGGGGTGTGGCAGGGGGAAGGCAACGGTGAATTGAGCTTCCAGCAAGAGAAGGAAAGTTATTCAATGTTTGCCATGTGTGGTGGCTCCTGCCTATAGTTCCAGCTACTCAGGAGACTGAGGCCTGAAACTCCCTTGAATCTGGGAGGTATTCAGACTTGAACGTGATTGCACCACTGCACTCTAGCCTGGGTGACAAAGTGAGACTGTCTCAAAAAAAAAAAAAAAAAAAAAAAAAAAAAGGAGGAATTTTACCGCAGAGACAACAACTAACCGTGGAATGGAGAAATACAGAAATGAAGCTGCGGAGTTGCCCAGCAGCTACTCACCTCCCAAGGCCCGGCCCTACTCCCCGGCTCTGAGCGCTGGAGGCTGAGAAAGCGCTAATAAAAAGGTTTCTCTTTCAGCTCCAACCTGTGATTGGTCCTCAGGGCCTGACCGCTGCTGGGCACTTCCTGTACCCATCAGGAATCCTGAGAGGTGGGTGCTGACTCCTCACCTGAGCTTCCCCATCTACACCTGTGGTTCTCAATCTTGGCTGCCTGTTAAACTCACCTATCTGGGGCTTCATTTCAAAGCACGAACGCCCAGAGATTCTGGTTGGTTGGTTAGATTCGGGCTGCTCAGATACTGGAGTTCTTTAGAGTCCCAGATAATTACGACTGTTGCGGAGTCTGAGAATCACTGCTTAGAAGCCTCAGCTGTGATTGGCTACCTTCTCCATCACACGAGGCATATTATTAATAAAAATCCAACTGCATTTCCAGTTAATTAACAATGACACGTCAACTATGAGACACATGAAAAGCACCAAATTCATCAGTTTTACACTGGCAGTATTTTTTTTTTTTAAGGTGGGGTTTCGCCATGATGGCCAGGCTGGTGTTGAACTCCTGACCTCAGGTGATCCACCCACCTCGGCCTCCCAAAGTGCTAGGATTACAGGTGTGAGCCACCATGCCCAGCCACTGGCAGTATTAATCAATTAATTAATTTATTTTTGAGACAGTTTCACTCTTGTTGCCCAAGCTGGAGTGCAATGGTGCAATTTCAGCTCACTGCAATCTCCGTCTCTTGGGTTCAAGTGATTCTCCTGCCTCAGCCTCCCCCGAGTACCTGGGATTACAGGTGCCTGCCACCGCACCTGGCTAATTTTTGTATTTTCAGTAGAGATGATAAGGTTTCACCATCTTGGCCAGGCTGGTCTCAAACTCCTGATCTCATGATCCACCTGCTTCAGCCTCCCAAAGTGCTGGGATTACAGGCTTGAGCCACCATGCCCAGACTAATTCTTTTTTTATTTTTTATTTTTTTATTTTTTATAAAGACGGGGTTTCACCATGTTGGTCAGGCTGGTCTTGAACTCCCGACCTCAGGTGAGCTGCCTGCCTTGGCCTCCAAAGTGCTTGGATTACAGGCATGAGCTACCACACCCAACCAATTCTTTTTTTTTTTTTTTTTTTTTTTTAAGATGGAGTCTTGATCTGTTGCCCAGGCTGGAGTACAATGGTGTAATCTTGGCTCACTGTAACCTCCACCTCCTGGGTTCAAGAGATTCTCCTGCCTCAGTCTCCCGAGTAGCTGGGACTCCGGGCATGCACCACCATGCTCAGCTAATTTTTTGAATTTTTAAAGTAGAGATGGTGTTTGCCATGCTGGCCAGGCTGCTCTTGAAGACCTGACCTCAGGTGATCCCCCAGCCTCAGCCTCCCAAAGTGCTGGGATTACAGGCATGAGCCACCGTGCCCGGCCAGCAGTATTAATTTTGTAAACATGTAAATAAGACTAAAAATTTGGCCGGGCACAGTGGCTCACACCTCTAATCCCAGCACTTTGGGAGGCTGAGGCTGGCAGATCACTTGAGGTCAGCAGTTTGAGACCAGCCTGACCAACATAGAGAAACCCCGTCTCTACTAACAATACAAGATAGCCAGGCTGGGTGGTGCATGCCTGTAATCTCAGCTACTCAGGAGGCCGAGGCAGGAGAATTGCTTGAACCCAGGAGGCAGAGGTGGCGGTGAGCAGAGATCGCACTATTGCACTCCAGCCTGGGCAACAAGAGCGGAAAACTCCGTCTCAAAAATACATACATACATACATAAAATAAATAAATAAAGGCTAAACATTTGAGTTTTACAGCTTTTTTCTTTTCTTTTCTTTCTTTCCTTTTTTTTTTTTGAGATGGGGTCTTGCATTGCCACCCCGGCTGGAGTGAAGTGGCACAAGCTTGGCTCACTGCAACCTCTGCCTTGTGGGTTCAAGAGATTCTCCTGCCTCCACCTCCCAAGTAGCTGGGACTACAGACACCAGGCTAGGTTGGTTTTTTTTTTTTTTTTGTATTTTTAGTAGAGATGGGATTTCACGATATTGGTCAGGCTGGTCTCAAACTCCTGACCTCTTGATCCGCCCGCATTGGCCTCCCAGAGTGCTGAGATTACAGGCGTGAGCCACCGCACCCAGCCTTTTTCATGTTTTAGAACCAACATATGTATGTCTGCATCTGTATTTCTTTTCTTTTTGAGTCAGGGTCTCACTCTGTCACCCTGGCTGGAGTGCAGCGGCACAATCATAGCTCACTGCAGGCTACAGGCATACACCATCACGCCTGACTCGATTTTCACATTTTTTGTAGAGATGGTGGTCTCGCGATGTTGCCCAGGCTAGTCTCAATCCCATGGGCTTAAGCGATCTTCCCGCCACCATGGCCTTCCAAAGTGCTGGGATTTCAGGCATGAGCCCCCATGCTTGACCCTGTGTTTACTTACAAGGTCCTTTATACTCTCCTCCACAGTAGGGATTGCCAGGATCCTACCCATTTTTCATGTTCCTTGAGAAAATGAAGGCAAGAAATATTTAGAAAACCTGTCTGAGGTCTTGTAGATCACAAACAGCTGTCAGCTTCGGAAGCCCAGCTCTATTCTAGAAAGAGTCAGAAAGTGAGGGATGGAGGGAAGAGAAACGATGAATTAAATCTGCCAGGCCTGGCAAGGTCGCTCACACCTGTAATCCCAGCCCTTTGGGGGGCCGAGGCCGGTGGATCACAAGGTCAAGAGATCGAGACCTATCCTGGCCATCATGATGAAACCCTGTCTCTACTAAAAATACAGAAAAATTAGCCAGGGGTGGTGGTGTGTGCCTGTAGTCCCAGCTACTTGGGAGGCTGAGGCAGGAGAATTGCTTGAATCCGGGGGGAGGAGGTTGCAGTGAGCCCAGATCTCGCCATTGCACTCCAGCCTCTGACAGAGGGAGACTTTATCTCAAAAAAAAAGAAAAGAAAATGTGCCAGGAGCAGTTTTTAGGCTACACATTTCAATAAATTCTTTTCCTTCTTCTTCCTCCTCCTCCTCCTCCTCTTTTTCTTCTTCCTTCTTTCTTCTCCTTCTCCTTCTTCTTTTTTTTCTTTTAGCTGTGATAAGAACCCTTAACAGAGATCAGCCAGGTGCAGTGGCTCACGTCTGTAATCCCATCACTTTGGGAGGCGGAGGTGGACAGATCACAAGGTCAGGAGTTGGAGATCAGCCTGGCCAACATGGTGAAACCCTGGCTCTACTAAAATACAAAAAATTAGCTGGGCGTGGCAGTCTGTGCCTGCAGTCCCAGCTACTCGGGAGGCTGAGGCAGGAGAATCACTTGAACCCAGGAGGCAGAGGTTTTGGTGAGCTGAGATTGTGCTGCTGCATTCCTAGCTGGGGGACAGAGCAAGACTCCGTCTCAAAAAAAAAAGCAGAAGGCTGAAAAGACACCTCAAAAGGCCAATCTCAGGTTCCACAATCACGACGTTATTTACAGGAGTAATTGTGGAAGTCGCAAATCTTCCGCCCTCCGGAACCGTGGCTGAACTCAGGCCTCTCTCATTTCCCTCACTTGCTGGTCTTTCCTTAGTTTCACAAGGGTAGTTTAGTTTTGGGGAAGGACGGTTATCATTTAAATTAGAAGCCAGGCCCGTGAGGTGGCTCACGCCTGTAATCCCAGCACTTTGGGAGGCTGACGTGGGCAGATCACCGGAGGTCAGGGGTTTGAGACCAGCCTGGCCAACACGGTGAAACCCCATGTCTTAAAAAAAAAAAAAGAAATTATAAACTCAGTTTATCTCCAAAGTTAACTTGGTCCCATCCAAGAATGAGGGAAGACAGCCAGTCCGTGAGGCTAGCTGGAGTCAGTGGCATCACATTTCTCTTAGGTCCTAATTATGCAAAGGCCGCTTTAGTTTCACAGAAGGAATATAAGTTTGAAACAGTGGAGAAGTCATCTCAAGTTTCCTTACAAAAGCAAGCCCTTGGTCGGGCATGGTGGCTTACCCCTGTAATCCCAGTACTTTGGGAGGCGGAGGTAAGCTGATCATGAGGTGAGATCAGGAGTTCGAGACCAGCTTGGTCAATATGGTGAAACCACGTCTCTACTAAAAATACAAAAATTGGCTGGCTGGCATGGTGTCTCACAGGCTGTAATCCCAGCACTTTGGGAGGTGGATGCAGGCAGATCACGAGGTCAGAAGTTCGAGACAAGCCTGGCCAATATGACAAAATCCCGCCTCTACTAAAAATACAAACATTAGCCGGGCATGGTGGAGTGCACCTGTAATCCCAGGTACTCAGGAGGCTGAGTCAGGAGAATCGCTGGAACCCAGGAGGTGGAGGCTGCAGTGAGCTGAGATCATGCCACTGCACTCCAGCATGGGTGACAGAGCAAGACTCCATCGCAAAAAAAGAAAGAAAGAAAGAAAGAAAGAAAGAAAGACATTCTTTTATTTCCAACAACATGGAAGAACATGAAGGAATGAAGGACATTGTGCTAAGTTAAATAAACCAGACCAAAAAAAAGGCAAATGCTGTATGATCTCACTTACACGTGGAATCTAAAGTAGTCAAATTCATAGGAACAGAAAGTGGAATGCCAGAGACTGTGGGGAGGGAATCATGGGGAAATGTTTTGCACAGGGCACCAAGTTCCAGTTATGCAGCTTGAATGAGTTCTGGAGATGCAATATACAGGAATGTGATTATAGTTAACAATATTGCATTGTATATTTGAAATTTGCTAAGAGAGTAGATCTTTTTTTTTGAGAGGGAGTCTCACTCTGTCACCCTGCCTCGAGTGCAGTGGCACAATCTCGGCTCACTGCAGCCTCTGTCTCCTGGGTTAAAGCAATTCTCCTGCCTCAGCCTCCTGAGTAGCTGGGATTGTAGGCACGTGCCACCACGCCTGGCTAATTTCTGTATTTTTAGTAGAGATTGGGTTTCACCATGTTGGCCAGGCTGGTCTCGAACTGCTGACCTCAGATGATCTGCCTGCCTTGGCCTCCTGAAGTGCTGAGATTATAGGTGTGAACCACTGCGTCCGGCTGAGCACAGCCCTTTGATGTCAGCAGAGGGTGCTGGTATCTGTGGCTAGACTCCAGCTGGCGTTCCCCTGACTCTGTTGA